AATGCGTGAAGTATTTACTCCCTTTATGCCTTTGCGAACCGAATGATCCTTGAGACCGGCGTCACGAGTCCAATCGCCGCGGCCCGTCCATAATTCAGCGACCTTATGGCAAAAGAAGATGTCACTCACGGCGCAAGATGCATTACGGTGCGTCGTTTAATTCTCATTTAATTGACTGTCGGATGACAATATATAACGTATATCGCGAATACGCTACAGCGCATTTTCTCCCATCTACTCGTCACGTTTTACGTTTTATGCGATTTTATAAGAGTTCATAGATTAGTTATAATAAAATATTTATATTTTGTGCGAGAAATTATGTTAAATATTTTTTAACTAAATTAAAAAGAGATAGCGATTCTCTCTATTATTCACTATTATTTCCTTCATCATGGCGAAAAAATTCAACGAGCATTCAAATCTCCGGCATCGCGCGTGCAATCGTCGCGTTATCGGTCGCGTGTAACGTTTCTACGCGAGAAGAATCGCGCTACGCTGAGAAATATGATGAAGAGAGAAAGGGAGAAAGGGCACAATATCCATCGCACGTCGGCTCGCGGCAAAGTAACGCGAAATAGAATTTATTGGCGTAGGCGAGGGAGTGCCGGTGAGTTTTTGAAGTCCCCGGACTTCGTTGCCTTCGCCATTCGACTCGCCAGTAAAATCGACGACTCGTCTCGTGGACGTTGCTGAATGGAGCAACATGCGAGAGGATACCACAGTCTCGGCTTCAGGACCTTAAGAACCCCGCGTAATTTACGTGAATGCAGAATATCGAGAAGAAATTGATTATTTGCCGCGTTCGCTATAATCGTAGTAAAAAAATTACAAAAAAATGTAATACGTATCTCAATTAAAAAATGAAAACTTCAGTTTTTCTCTCGAAAACTGTTTTTCCTATTGATTGATTTATTTATCTTGATTTTTTAAATATTAAAATGTACCATACGAAAGTGCTTTAATAATAAATTTTGCTAGGTAATTATTATTTCCACCACACATTTAATAACACCGTCTCGTCGTAGATTCTTTCTCTTGTTTTCTTTTCGTACACACGCGCTCACACTAACGAATCGTCTTTCGCCATGGGCCGTGTAGGACTTATGGGTTGCGCGACGCGGAAATCGTTTAAAGGCATCAAATTTCACGTGTGAGAATTGGACGGCGCACGATTAGAAAGAAAAGTGATCCGTCCTCTTTTGATTCGGATTACAAAGTTAGCGAGAATAACAACTGCATTTTTAATTCAGACGTACTGATAGCTCTTCTATAATCGCATTAAGCAAAATTGACAATAAACGAAGTAATTGAACAAAAATGCGATGAATGATCACAATTTCGCAAAGACGGGATTGACTTCGAACAACATTAAAGTATGATAAAATCGGAGTTTACATATGCCGTCTTAATTAAAAAACTTTTCACGAAGAATCTGTAAACATGACATCAGAATTGATTGATTAATTAAGCGTTCAAACGATCGTTTATTAATTGCCGGCGAAAAATTTCGTAAGTAACGAATCATTCGATTCAAGGTCGACCCGCGTCTTTCCAAGACAAGGCTTAAGGTGGACATGAACGGCGCAGCCTTGAATGTTGGTACGATAACAAGGATGTCTGTTATGCTGACGGTGCATCTCCCACCGTAATCAAACTTGTAGAGCTAACCGGAGGAGGTATCGAGGAGTCGCGAAATTAAAGTATCGCGGTGTGCGAACTCGTGCGCGCGATTGTATTTCGGGAAACGATGGCGTTGCTCGTGTTTATCACATTTCGGCACGTGCGCGATTATTTTCGCGTGACGATACCATGGTCGGCCATTGCAATACTCTCAGATAAAGAAAACTTTTTTTTGAAATTGTCATAATAAAATTAAGTAATACTATAAACAGGAAGTAAAACAAATGTTAAAACTCTGAAGAAAGAGCAACATGAAATTTGAAGAATAAAAACTTGTCCTGATAATTTATTATTAACATTAATTATATCTAAAAATATTTCCTATATTTCTTTAAAATATTTCTTTAAAAAATTGACTAATAATATTGAAATATATTAGTAAATTTTTTACATCTAATTTTTACATCTAAAATTATGTTTTACATTTCTTATATCGAGAGTATTTTACTATATATATGTATATCAAAGAATGAATAGGACAAATCGCAAAGACGAGTATATGTGCATCTTATATTAAATTTCTCAATCTAAAAAGAGAGAGTTATTATGTTACACGCCGTTAATTGTGTCATCATTATATTATATTACGTCAATATTTTTGCCGACTTTGCTTTATAACTCTTTCCGCATTTTATGACAATTGTTTTTACGAATTTCAATGAAACATTACGATTATGACAGCCGGCGGAGTAATCCTTTTTTTTTCGCGTCGCAAACTGGAACGATAACGAAAGCGCGCAAAGGGCCTGACGGAATTTGCAAGTCTCGCGTGGCAAAGTGCCACAAGCACCGGCCGAGGGTTGACTGCCGTGGCGACCCGCGATACTCTTTTTTCTTTTTTTTTATTCTGAGAGCTCTCCCTGCCGCCGCCGATGGGTTCTTTTATTTCGCGATTTCTCTCTCATTTCGTTGGACCCGCCGACACGGTCGAACTTGGATCCGCTTGCTCTACCAATTTGGCGGGATTATTGGAAGTCGCTAATCGTTCGCGAAGAGTAACGCAAGAATCGCCAATAAGCGACGCGATAGTTACGGCTATTAGCACTTTGGATTCTAACGGTACCATCGTGTGCTACAGTTTCTTCCAAAAAGTTTAAATAAAAAAAGAAGTCTTTCCCGCCTTGTAACTTGTAAATATTAAAAATTTAAGTACTCTATTATTTAAAAAATATCATAAAAATACATCATTAGTTATAATTAACTTTTAACAAAGCAGAATGTTTCTCCCAAGTGTTTTCGTTTTAAACCAGTGCAAAAGTTGCAAATCACGAAATTGTAAATTAGACTCACGTTTCATGGCGCTGGCGTGGCTGAATGTTTTTATTTAGATCCAAAACATTGGTCGCACACGATGCAATGCATAATCACATGTAGACGTGAACTTTTTCCGAATTCGACCGGTCAGGATCATCCCTGACTATGCGAAGAAGCAATCAGATCAGGGGGCAAGAACGATGCAACTTAAGATCGTCTTAAGCAAAACTAAACTTCGGTCTTGCGTCCAAGACATCCCGGCATCGCGTATCCCCCCACCATCGACTTCTTTCCAGTCATGTGGGATTTACGCGTACGGGGAGTAGCACAGGCTTCTCACACTTGGGGCGGTACCCATTTATATAAAAGACGAGCACCGGTGTCATCATTGAGCTTGTGTTACAATGCGTAAAATAAAGTATAAGCAAATAAAACGGTGAATCATTGCAGCGTATTGGCACATTGAAGACAAAACTAAAAACTAGAAAAAGAACGAGAGAAAAAACGAGAATAATTATTTTTTTTTATTAATTAATTATAAAAGTTTACTTTTATTGTAAAGTTTTTTAAAACTCTTAACTATAGACGAAAGAGGCATTGTTTACAAACAATCGTAAAAATTAAAGTTTAAAAAAATAAGTATCTTTAAAGGCAAAATATTGCTCTTCAGCTTGAAATATTCCGAGTCGACACAATATGGAAGAGTAAATTTAGTGCGCGACTCATAATAGTTCCAATTTCAATTATAAAGCGGATTCTTAAATTTGATAGGAAAATTTTTCGCATCATCGTCTGCCGCGGTGAGCCAAGCAAGCTAAAGTGACACAACAATCTTCGTCGTGTTTGAGATATCAACGCCTGAGTCATTACGCGATGTGCTGATTCGCAGACTTCGCGAGATTATCAAATCGTAAATGCACTTCGCTCATTCGCGCACAGTGTAGAGTCCTTTAAATTGTTATTATATCCATGTCCTCCTTCAACTCATGTTTCACCAATCATATTCTCGATATATCATATATTGCAGCCGAGATCACGGATGGTCAGCAACAATTTCAGATCGTATTGTTGACTTCGAAAAAGACATTGAGATATGATGAATCATTTTTTCATAGCGGTATAAAGTTACAGATTCGCAGTTGCTAATCTTGTGTGATTGTTTGATAAATTAGGAATAAGACTCCAGCTGTGAAGCATTGTTCAATTGGACTGTTATTTTAGCTACTAATACGATTTGTTTTGTCTGCAACACATTTGTTGCTATCTTGAATATCTCGCGATAATTCTAGGACGAGGCTTCGTGATTTGTCGGCGATCCGCGGTAGGTCCTGAACAGATCGCGAGATTATAGATCACGTCTATATCGTAATTAATATCGATCGAATAGCTGTGATGTCCGGTAGGTTGTGTAGGAAGTATCCAGTTTCGTGTTTCTACACATGTATAAACGCTTAAGCCGTCTTCAACGATCCGGTCGCTGAGGCGAGAGCGTGTTCCAGCTGTGGTTTGCGGCTTCTCTGATCTCAACCGCTGCTGGACAGTTACGGAAATCCTTAGACACAGCTGGAGAGATGATCAAAATTTGCGTTCACGTATCGATCAGAACCGAACAGATTACTGTAGCAGACGAGTCGAAATAAAAACATTTACGCAGCGTCGCGGATGGCTAACGCAAATAGCATTTTTCACATTTACATATTTTTTTTTTAAATACTGGAAGCTAGCAGAAGTTTTAATAATAATTATATCAAATAATAATTATTAAAAAAATATTTAATAATTATATCACTTGATTACTTCACTTATTACATCACTTATTACATCACTTATCACTTATTACATCGTAAATTATTTTAATCCAAGAGGATTTCTCACGGTTCACGTCACAAATTTTTAATTTAAGAAATTAATTTTGAATTCGGACAACAATCATGTGAAAGCTAAAGAAGTTCTTTGTTTAAGAAGCATTCTCCGTTATCGATACTTTACACATTGAATCGCCCGATGCAATTTAGCCGAGACAATAAACAAGGAAGAACATAAACCGGGACTAGAATTTTTACCTGTCAATACACGCGGCACTTTCTTCCTTTCTCTATTTTTCATCCACGAGAAACTCCATGCGCTATACATTGTGATTCCGTTGGACACGTTTACGTCTGTACGGCTTTCGAGACCTGCGAGACAAAGCCACTCTCTGTTCTGGCGTTACCCCGTTCTCTGCAATACCCATAGATTTTATGAGGTAGTAAAAGAAGACGCGTAAACTATTCCTAGGATGGAGGGAAGGAAAATCCACCAATTTTGTTTTGTATAAGATTTCGTTTCACTGATAAAAATTTTAATTGCCGGACGTGAGTGACACACGCTGATAAATTTAACTCTTATTACAGAGCTTTGAGAACTTGGTTTCAGGTAGCCGATTATTTAATTTCTCAAAGATTCGAATCACTCTTTTTTTTTTTTACTTTTAGAATCAGAGTGAAATCAGCAAAGGATTATTCGTATCACTTTTAGGAAAATACTTTCATAAATTTTCGTCACTTGGGCGACTATTAATGTCAACTGGTAAACCGCGATCTTTACTATAGTGTCGCGACGTTTTAATTTATTGCAGTTTGTTATAAAGATGTTAATCTTAAGTATATCATCAATTTATAATATAATTCTTCTTGATCACGCTTATAATTGGCGATAAAGAAGCCGTAACGCTTGACATAAAAGCTCTTCTCGACTTTAATAATTCTTTCTTAAATATTTTTCTTTTAGAATTAAAATATTCATATAAAAAAATCCCATCTTATCATAAACACTATTAATATCTATTTCAAATTTAATAAATTAAAATTAAAAAATTTATTTGATTAATTAAAAGTCGATGACGAGAAAAATCAGAAAAACTGTTTGTATTATTTAATTCTAGTTAGCTATTTAGTTGCACTTGAAATCTGGAAAATCCTGCGGATATATATTTCGTTCTAAGGAAGCTTCGAACATCCAAATGCATGTTAAACATGAGAATGTTAAAAATTCTCCGAACTTCCGCAGAGGGATAATGATCGGCGCGTGTTTGCGCGCAAAGTTTCTCTAGAAAAGCGCGCCGCTGTTTGCGAGCGTTTTGCATATACACGTACATATACGTCAGGCGTCACCCTGAATTACCTAAGAGCTGTTTACGCACGTGCCAGGATGTTGTAAGGCGTACACCCGCGCGGTTCATTCAATTATTGCCACCACTATTGCGATCGCGCTATTATTAGCTATCGCGGCCGAACCATTCATGAATTACTATTATTATTACCGCTATACATATGCGCGTCACGGTGAACGCCTGCTTCAGACGACGATTTGCGGATTGTCCGATCAATTGTCTAACAAAGTGATTTGCATTGCGCAATGTGGAATTGTAGTATACGCAATTCAACTGTTAATCCAAAATTGCGAAAGTGGATTTCTTTGAAACCGAGTTGTATATTTAAGCTTAAAAAAATCTCAAACAAGTGCGAGAAATTGTTATGCTGTGTGTTTCTTTTTTGGAATCACAATAATATCGCTATCGAAACAAAAATATGCGACTTATTTTTACAATATCCGAATGTATGATCGCTCTTTGTAAAGAGATATATTCTTCGAATCTTTATTAATGAAGGGATTTAAATATGACAAGAGTTTGGCTTCTCGTCTCAAGCGCGACAGACGGTGATTCGGCGTTTAGGAAAAAAGTTTGAAAATAAAGCTTCGAGGTAGATCCTCGTCGAGGAGCATATATGATCCGGAGTGTTTATACTGTCGTGACAGCTGTTCCGGCGAAGAGACAAGTCCTCGCGCGATTATATCTTGTACGTGAGATGCGGAAGGGTGTAGCGGTCAGGATCACAGGCAAGGATCACGTTCGGCAGGCTGACGCTCCTTTCTACAAATCGCTTCAGGAAGCGACACGCCCCTCTGCGGCTGCCGCGACGCGTTACGCACGTTCTTATTTACTTTACGTCGTATTTCCTTCTGCTTTTTTTTCACACCCGTCGGCGAAATGAGAATCCGGCTCGCGAGAGTACGGCGACTCGAAAATAGTCCGATCCGTTTCACACGCGCGCCGCGCTCGCGAACGGATAAATCACGCTTTTCAACCCCTTTCGCCTCGACGGCGCTTTTAGACGCGATAGGGTGGCTGAGTAGGTGCATTCTCGATGTATGGATATTTTAACGGCGTGGCCGGGAGATTTACGAGCTTTGGAAATGTAGTCTTGAAGGTGATTTCTCCAGGATAAATATTTAAATTGAATTTTAATGACGGAGGAATGCAGCTCGTGTTTTTAAAGATAAATTTTGGAAGCACATTGTTTGTTTGTAGTTAATTTCTTTTTTTTTGGAAAAAAATTATCCCGACCTAATTAATGGATGATTTAACATATTTGAAGAAGAAATATTTAAAGAAATTAAGTTTCAATAAATAATGATTTTTTTAATATTAATATTAACATATTCCTTTTTCTTAAAGTTGAATTCAGATTAAAACAATTTTTATGACACCTATTAGCAATGATATTAAATTAAATGACATTAAATTTAGACGCTAAGAAATTGTCATGCCACAAGATATTTTCGTAACGCGTCTTTTAAAATTATTCCGTTTTTCATATTGAAATAATCGTCAGGTGGAGTTTTGGAAGAATAATTAGTTTCAAAGAAAAAGTAGCAGAAGGGTTGAGACTTGTACACTGTGCGTACCGTGTGAAAGACCATGCGGGTGCCGTAACACAATATCGAGATATATTCAATGCAACTCAACGAACAATTTACCTGCATCCGTTTACTCGAATTACACCTGCAACAAAATAACATTAATGTATTCCTTCCGTTCCTATTAAAAATCTAAATTAAATTAAAAAGTTAGAAAATATTCTCGCACTTCAATTGTCAGAATGACTATAAATTCAAATGTTAATCAATCTGCCTTACAAATTTGCTCTGAATTAATTAAATTAATTCTAATTATTTCAGAATCATTGAGTCACTGATTTTGCAATAACGCATAAAAAGGATTTATTCTACAAACGTTGTTTTTTTTACTTAGGAATGTTTTATCGATAATTTATCAAATGTCGAATTTGGACATCATTTATTTGTCTCTTAATCATGTAATGTTGAACAAATAATATTTATTATTTTATCTATATTTGATGCTGTCGGATAACTTTGGCAACATAATAAATCACATAAATATTATAAATTAAACGTATAGAACAACAAAAAGCAAGAGTTCACTAATAAAATCACGATTTTAGACGATTGATTGCCTTCAAGCGATTTTATCGCGCTTTCTCACGCTGTTGATCTACAGATACATATCATAATACGAAATGCAGCGATCTCAATGATGATTATGAAAGATTACTCGTGTGCGAAACTTTCAAGATATCGAAAGAAGATGTATTGGAAATATTGATGCGGGTTAACGTAAGAGTTCTGACTTTGATCGTTTCGAGAATATGCGAACAGTTATTATGAATCTATTTAGTTTCCAACTGGAATAATTCAATTTTTCTCTATATACTTTTAAATATTCTATTGCATATTTAGAAAAAAACGAAATTATTCCAGTCGAAAACTTCTCAAGAATTTCAAAACAGCTGCCTGTAGCATGTGAAAAATACGCAGTCGACGCACACTTTTTTTCTTGCAGCAATTAATTGGAAATAAAGAAATTTAACTTTACAAAGAATAGCGACTAATTTTGATCGCAAATTAATGTTAATATCAATGCAATTAAAACTTCGAGGCATAATTAATTTTAAAACACCGTCGCATTTGCGCACGTTAAACAATTCTTTCCTTCAATCAATATCTTAAAATAATACAAATAAGAACTCCGATATTCTCCGCGACGCGACGCCTGAATATCTACGCGAAATTATTCGAGTGCGGAATCGATTGTTTTACAAACCTTTAGTGAGGGCGGGCCTTTCATTGGAGGCCGCAGGGGTAAAAGAGGGTGGAACCAATTAGTCTCCCTCGGCAGGAAAGTGATTTCGGCACGGTCGACTTCCCCGGAGACGCGCACTTTTATCAAGCCGACGGTGCTTGACACATTTCCAGCGACGCTTCGAATTTCTTCGCCATTTTCGGCTCAACTGTCGCTTCTCTCACTAGTATTGCTTCGCGAATGTGCCCATCAATACCACCGATTCGTCGAAGTAAAGTCAATCGCGAGGTCTCGCTTTATCATTTTTGTCCGTCAAAAATCAAACTTTTTTTATCAAAAGTTTTATTACAATTCTTAAATTATCTCAATTATGCGCGTTAATATACACAATATACATTTATGCGACTTGTTCGTTATTATTATAATATGTTTAAATAATTATGTTTGATTCTGCCTTGAAGCAAATATTTACCATATATTTTCTTTCTTATGTACTCACTATACAGATAAACTGTTTCGTTCAAATTTCTATATTACTATATTATTTTATAATTAAGTTATTCTTGTATATATATTTTAATTATCAAAAAAGAAAATAAAATATTAAAATTAAATATTTCTCTTTTTACGTCTTTAGTCGTCACGTGCTACACAATAATTTTATTTCGTTACTTGTATTGTTATAATAAATTAATAATTAATATCAATAATTTAAATATATTAGATTAATAAAATATTACATTATTACATTAAAATATTGTAATAATTAATATCAATAATTTAAATATTTTACATTAATATATTACATTGCGAAACGATTGTAAAATATATCTTTTGTTTCGGAGTTTATTTGTTTGTAACGGCTTTGTTGACAAGTCGTTTCTTCCGTGGCTCTTAGTTGCAGTAAAAAATATTAAAGTCTCTTAAGTAAATACGTTTGATTGTCGCGTAATTTATTTGATAAACGTCAGACCGATCAGCACATTATCATTCTTAGAATTTGTTGCATCGTCTTTCCGTGGGAACTTGAGATGTCCACCGTGTTCTTCTGCAACTCAATGCGACTGAACAACTCTCATATATTACACATCACCATTTGGTCCTAATCAAACTGTATCTCCTTTCTATCGCAAATTGTTATAATTCAACAAATTGATTAACCTGAATTGCACTTTGAATCACTTTTGAAATACAGGATTGACAATTTGCAGTTCCTTGTTACTTTTTCGCGTGAATTGAGTTTAATAACTGTTGTCCACACAATTTACGATAATAATTCAGTCTCTTCGCGTATCTAAATACACCACGTATCTCCGATCCGAAGTAGAATGAAAACATTAGTCACCTCTGAAGACACGTGACTGATATTACAGTTCCTCTCTCCTGTTTCTCTCAGTCTATCAACACACACGATACTATTCGCGACAGTTCGATAACTGTGAGCAACTCGCTTCTCTTGCTCGTATCGAGATAAATCGACATCTCGAAATAAACTCTAACACACGATTCTTCGCAGCTTCCGAGTCGAATTTCTGCGGAGTGTTCGCTCGATTTTACCTCAAAATGTTAATATTCACCGCGCACTTCGCGATCGAACGAAGACAATCGCACTTCTCTGTTATACAAATGCGACGTTTCAAGTAATCAGCAACATTCTGAGCGCGTATTCGTGATTGTTGAACAATTCGCAATCATCGTTTCATCGTTCACTCGCGCGTTCTCCCGAGAATTTCCACGGCGAATACTTTCCTTGCGAAGATGCCTTTTTTTCCCGACGAATCCGAATACTCAACTATGGGCGTTCTTCACCTCGATCGGTGGGGCGGATGCGCGCACCTTACGTGATCAATTCATCAGGTCGCGATCTCGTCGCACGTGTGCACCATTAAAACAGAGCCGCGCACTATTTCGCCGTACAACTGGATGCACCGTGCACGCCGGACTCCCCATCGAGCGTGGACCAAACGACCGCCGCTGAGCAGCCGATCTGCCGCCCCCGCCAATCGCTGTCCTCCTCGCACCCTCGCACATCTCCCTTCCTTCCTTCACATCGTCGTTCTTCCTCTCGCTCGGTTTGACATAATATACGTTAGAGAGAGAGAGAGAGAGAGAGAACCGCGGGTGGATCTTTACGACGTTATTATTCACCCCTCCCCCCTGTTTTCTCATTGACGGAGTTGTGCGTTCTGCGCACTTCATACACCGGTCTTCGTGGATCTTCCGTTGATTTTCTTATACTCTTCTCGAAAAAAACGCAAATCTCCATCTGGTAGCAGAATAAATCTCGCTCTCGCTCTCTTCGGAATACTCGTTCCTCTCGCTCCCACGTTCTCTCCGCTTATTATCTGTGCGTGATGCATGTGTGTGACAACGCAGTCGCACACGGCTGCAACGCTCTCTCGTGTACCACAGCCACAATGTAATGTGCCGAAATAACGCCTCCCTGGTCTCATTGGTGCAATCTCCGACTCCTCGACCACGCCTACGTGGCATCTCTATGTAGGTATCCCCTCCATTCCTGCAAAAATGTCCACTCTTCGGGTTTCTCTTCGTCCTTTCCGCCTCACCGTGCCCCGCTGACCTCTCGTCCTGCTCGTCTGTGCCGTCGCGCAAGCATCTTCTCCATTTCGCGCTCGTTTTTAACGCATCCCTGCGCACGCGGGGGATGCTTTACGCGAGATTGTTCGCGCATTTTCCACGGCGAGAAACGATAAGCGCACATTCCGTTGCAAATTTTTATCACTCCCTCGCAGTGCTTGAAGTCTCGGAATTGGTGGAGGAGAGCGCGAAACAAAAGTCGGAAATCGGTGAGATTGATTGCCTTCCTGACTGCGCGAGTTCGATTGATTGGACCATTATGTAATTGATTAACTCCATTATGTGCTCTCGTTCACATTATGATTATTGGATTAGTTAATTTTATGTACTATTAATGATGAGCTTTTTTATCGTGTAACTCAATTTATATGAGATTCTTCTAGTGTATATCTTACATTCTATTAATGCAAATTATTCTAAATTGTTATCTTAGTATTTGAGTCGTCTTTTCAAGGTAAATTAAAGTCTTGCACTTTACTAAATTTCTCACATTTACAATTTATTCAATTTTATTGTATAATTTATATTTTGAAATTTAAATTTTGCGATATATTTGGTGCTAAATGTGGATTAAATATTTGATGTAAAAATGTCAATGTTCACATTACATAAAAGTTATATTCACTAGTCTTCTTTTTGTACATAGTTACATCTTCATTTAGCGTGGGATTCAACAATAAATTATATTTTTATTGCAGAATCGAGTCTCAAAAAATTCTTCTTTTTCTTAAGAATTTTAATTGTATGAATTGTTATACTTGCTTATTTTATTTTCGCAAAAATGGAACATTTTTATTATTTTATAAAAATCTTTGTGTGATGCTTCTTTTTGATTTTATACTGTTTTCCAAATGCCACTTTTGTGTCGAATGTTGCACACAAATGGCAACTAGTGTTTTGCAGCATAAAAATCATTTGCAGATATTATATGTACAGCAGTTTGACATACATTGAATTTTTACTTATGCTATCTAATCATCTAAATGGCATGAATATCAGACTTATTATCAATTAAACAAATATTTGAGAGACAATTTAAAAAATAATAATAATAAACACCAAAGATAAATTTGTTTTTTATTATGTTATAAAAAAAAAAGTAAAAGTTTATCATATTTTTCACTCATTTAACTTAAACTTTTTGTGTATCACTGCAACGTTAAATGCATGCCTAAGTTTGTATCATCTGCATTATATTATAAAAACGCAGTCTTTGAAAATGTCTTTCTATTCTATGTTTTAATACAAACTAGATATTTTTCAATGTCACAAATGTTTATTTATTGGACCATCTTTAACTTCTTTAATTTCTTGCTAAACTTAAAACATTTCATAATGTTCAATGAATTATATTATAAGGCAAATAAAAATGAATTCTTTTTTACAATAAACGAAAGATTAACTACACCAGGTTTAAGTTTCGGCCACTTGCGCTCTGATATTTTTTTCGCTCTTTATTATTTCTTCTAACAAAAAATTGATAATTTATACAATTAATAAATTAATTAATGAAAATATCATTTTGAATTTTTGGTCATTAATCTTACACATCTCTAAATACAAATATTGTCCAAGCAACATCCTATTATACTTAAAAATACTTTTTGCAATCACAGACGAGTCATCGCGCTCAATATTTTTTTATATAATTTATTTCTTTATATAATTCATCATCATTACTATCTACTAACGCGTCTTTAAAATACTTGGATGCGATAAAGCGTCTATTAACTGTAAGCTAATAATCATTTTTCAGAAAATCAAGCCAAAAATAGGTATTTTTTAAAAATAAAGTCGAAAATTGACATTTTGCGATATTCTTTTTTACAATGATACATTTATAAGAAACATTTTTAATGCTGCAAGCATTAAAAAAAGAAAATGCAAGCTAAAGGTTTCCATCTTACCAGCATCTAGCTACGTGATAGAATAAAATAGTCTTACAAATCAATTATCTCTCAATCATAAACTGTCAACTTCCGGCCTCATTTTTTTAAATGGTCTGTTTGTCCATCTATGTTTGTCCATCTATGTTTGTCATTGATCTATGCTTGTTAATAGAGAATTTATTTTTCTCAAAGTTGGCTACTTTGATTCCACAGCTTTGCAATTCATCGCATGAGGTCTCTGACATCAACTCGCCTCGATACGGAGAACTCCATTCTGACACTGACAGCAGACGTTGCGAAGGTCACGCAGGGTTACGCGAGGAACTATTGAGACCGAGTGCTTTCTCTAAAATCTTTTGGACCATTTAACAAGGCGTTTACGTCCACTGCTATCATCATGCTACCACGATTCCTCAAGCCCACTATAAATGTCGCTCAACAAGGTGCTAAGCGCTTGTCCACCAGCGCCAAGGTAAATAGCGCGATAAAGTAGATCATGGTTAAATCTCTTTTCCCGCGAATTGTTCTGACATTAATTATTGACATTAATAAACGAGAATTATTCCAGAATCGCCGAATTAAAGTGCATAGTAATAACGCTTGCTATCGTGTATTGCTGGATGTTCAAAGTGTGACATGAATAGCAGGCAATTGGACCAATGTATATTTAAATGTATCTTATTTCGAGAAAAGACTCGTGACCTTGAAAAGAACCTCATTTTCGTGCTCCGATATGCATCTGTCATTATTTATGAACCATTCGTCTACCACTCGTGATTACAGCATTATGATAACTAGTAACTTTTTGATTAATGACTTCACGCTCTTATATTATTTTGCGGTTGATCCCATGACATGTGGATGTGTCCGATATGCAATATGGATAATGATTATTGAACAGCTATTACGTATAAATGAAGAAGAAGGTTGTTATTTTGAAGAGGATTTTATTTTTCACTTAAAGATATTAACATTTATTTACAATTTTGCATATATGTTTGTATATTTTTATATTAATATACTATCGATTGCTCCACGTTTATCAAGTTTTCTGAATCGTCGAATCTGTAGGGTATAATGAAGACGCGACAAGAATCTCCATCTCCATGTCGAACGACGTGTATCATCGCAGCATTATCGTGTTACTTATCAGCTACATTGAAACTTGGCGCAGCGCGTCATCAGAGTGACATGCTCAACCGCAATCGGAGTAATGTTATGCAACCGTGAATTTTTAATTTCAATGCTGACGCGTAAATTGGCACATCAGAATGCATTTCGAGAATCACATTCTAATCACAGAATAATTCGTGAATCTTAATCTATTTAATTTTTCCCTGAATAACTGAATTCCACATGTTTCCCTATTTATTTACTTAAATCTCAATTCCATTTTATTTTTTACAGCCTTATAAATTTTTTAATATTATTGAATTAAACCTGTTGGTATAAATCTGAATGTTGATACAAATAGATTTAATGATGAACGAATCGTTAAATTAAATATTATTATTGAATAAGATTTAAACGCGTTATATAAAAAATATCATAAATATGTTATATGCAAAATTATTTTAGAACCACTATTTTCTCAGCAAAAATATCGAATAATTTTCAATTTAGAAATGCTCGAAAAGAAAAGTTTTTACAAAATAATTGTTAGGTAGCTATATGTTTATCCTCTTGTTTGTTTTAAATACTAATATCTTGATTATGTAATGCTAACATCTCGATGTGTTCTTTTTGCAGCGTGATACTAAAGTTGCTGTTATGGGGGCAGTGGCGGCATCGGTCAACCACTGTCGCTGCTTCTCAAACAGTCGCCCCTTGTTAGCGAATTGTCGCTGTATGATATCGTGAACACACCGGGTGTCGCCGCCGATCTCTCGCACATAGATACGCCTGCAAAAGTTAAAGCTTACACCGGTCCGGAACAGCTCAAAGATTCCCTTAAAGGTGCTCAGGTATGTAAATATAAGATGGAAGTTTATGAATTGACTGAAATGAATTGGATATATTTTCACCCAGAAAAAGTTGATCCCAAATTGATCAAAGAATCTAAACAAATGTGAAAATAAATATTTATTGATACTACAATATTTTATATATTATTTTGAAAGTATAAATGTTATTTAACTTGTAAAATTGAAACTGGAATCAAACCTGCTTTCGATTTTCTGATTTTATTATTTTGTATATTCTTTTCAGGTCGTTATCATACCTGCCGGTGTCCCGCGTAAACCTGGCATGACCCGTGACGATCTTTTTAATACAAATGCCTCCATTGTTCGCGATCTGGCCGTTGCGATAGCTGAAGTAGCGCCGAAAGCCTTGGTGGGAATCATCTCGAATCCCGTCAACAGCACGGTGCCGATCGCGAGCGAAGTGCTGCAGAAAGCCGGTGTTTACGATCCCAATCGTATATTCGGAGTAACTACTCTGGATATTGTTAGGGCAAATGCATTCATCGCAGAAGCAAAGGTATTAAATGTCATTCTCGCATGAAATAACGAAGGTGAAATATTGCACCTGCGATTAGAATAAATTATAAAATCCCTTTGAGTATATAAGACTAAAAATAAGGTATTAATTTTTGTTAAACAAAGTTTAATCAAAATGTGGTACATTATTTGTTAATCCTTTATATATAATTGAAAAAATTCGAAAAAAGATACTAACGATAAATGATCTTTCAGAGTCTTGATCCAAAGAACACGAGCGTTCCTGTCATCGGTGGACATAGTGGCATCACTATTATTCCCTTGATCTCGCAGTGCACTCCGTCAGTTTCTTTCCCGGACGCTCAGTTGAAGGCGCTCACCGAGAGGATTCAGGAGGCCGGCACTGAGGTTGTCAAGGCCAAGGCGGGCACTGGATCTGCGACGTTGTCCATGGCTTACGCCGGCGCGCGATTCGGTATTTCGTTAATCAGAGCGCTCAACGGAGAATCTGGTATCATCGAGTGCGCATATGTCAGGTCGAACGTCACCGATGCCAAATATTTCTCCACGCCAGTGGTCTTAGGCGTAAGTAGAGATATAAAAATAAACTGCGCGACTGAATATGTTTGCTGTTTAACATTTTAGAAAAATATGTCTGCGAACAGAAAGTATTACTCTTTTCTCATTAAATCATCTGTTTATGGAATAATATATGATATATATTTTAATTTTAAAATTTGCTATTGTTTTTGCACAATATTTTATGATTAGTTTTTCAAATGTAAACAGTTTTTTATTTCTTAGACAGATTATTTCAAATGAAATATGCTTTATAGGCGATATTGAGACACGTTTTAAGCAATCAAGTAAGAGATGAAGATTTTATTAATCGGCGTATTGAATTTCAGAAAAATGGACTTGAGAAGAACTTGGGCACCGGCAAACTGAGCAGCTTCGAACAGAAACTGCTGGATGCCGCGATCCCGGAGCTTAAAAAGAACATCCAGAAAGGCGAGGACTTTGTAAATAAGAAGTGAGATCCATCGAACTTGACTAGATAAAGCGTAATTCACGAATTGTACAAGAAAATTGTCCGTCTTCATTGTTCATCGTGCAATGAGCGCGGAAACCTACAAATATATCTTTTGTCCCGACCTGCTGATATGTACGTAAATGCATAGTGTTTCAAGAAATTATCAGAGATATTTATAATGTTCAAATAGTTATACACGATAAATGAACTGCCAAGCAAAACTACAGATGTATAAAATAGGGGATAAATGAAGTTATAGAATATCAAAATTGCAAACGCAATTTTCACTCGAGAAACAATGTAGCAATAAACGCTATATCAATCCAACGGTCAATTCTCTTTCCACATCTTATCAAATCCTATTATTCATAAATCTCCTTGAATTCGATTTTTCCTCCAATTTTATTTTAACCAATTAAATTTGATCATGCTTTTAGGATAATTTTTAAACGAATCGTGAAAATTCAAGAACACAAGCTTGGCAAAGTAACGAATTCAGTCAGCAAGTTGCGTGCGCATGAGCTACATTATACAAATATCAAAACAAATAATATTAATGTCACAGATAAAAGTCACGAACAAGTCAAGGCAAGCAGCAATAGAATCGCGGGCGTGTAGTTGATAATTATTTCTTTGCTTCCGCAGATCGTACAAAGTGCAATTGTAACAAACGCTCTTTTTATACAATTTTAGTGAATAATGCAAATTATTCATAGTGAATTATTCATAGTGGATTCATAGCGACGCGATGGTGAAGCGCAAGCATAAAAGACGACTGCGACAGAAGACCAAATTTCAGAAAACCTTTCGAGAAAATGCCGGTTCGAAGAATCGTGATGAAGAAAGCGACGCGTCCGTTCAACGTTCTCCGGAAGCGGTGCTGTACGAATCGCCACACAGGGATCTGCTGTGCAACGAGAAGCTCAGTCCTGAGATTATCCCGAAACGATCGAGAATAAGATTACTGAGAGCGAAAGCCTACGAAGACGACGCGGAAGTTGAAGATGAGATCGCCGCGCGGAATATTGAACTGTCGAATTCGAGTTTACTCAAGCGTCACGAGTCGAAGTGCAATTACAAACACGATATTAAATCTACAAGTGATTTTCCACATTTGGAAGACTATCCCAAGCGTGACATTGGCGGATCAGTCGTTGGCGAGACGTTTGATTCAGCGAACTGTTATTCGTTCCGTTCGTTATTTTTAAAAAAGGAACAAAGCAGCGATAAAAGCGCGGACGATGCGCCTAAAAATATTTCGCAATTGCCGACATTTTACTCCGACTTGGAATCCCGATTGCGCAATAATATATACATTTTTACGGGCGACGTTTCGGCACACGCAAATTCCGATAGAAAGAATGGCGGACGATCTTTCGAGAAAAGATCGCAGCAGGAGGATCGCTGTAAGCCTGAAACAATAAAGAGTTTTTATTCATTGGACAAGGCGCTTTCGATAAATAATGATTTAATCTGTCAGAATAATTATCTCGAGAAACAGCCATCGGCGATCATCGCTAGTCATTTCACTGTGAAGAAGTCTTCGTCGATCGCGGACTTGCAGAGCGAGTCGCTCGACAGATTTATACTCGCTAGATCATCACTCTGCGAATCCGTCGAAAGAAACGATGGATTGCGAGATAAAGCAGACAAGAGTAGGAAACGCAGATCGGATAACAATGAGCGATTCGACGCCGAGACGTTCGGCGAACGTGTCACAAATTGGCACGAGCTCGGGAAGATTTTCTCGTATTTGTGGCGAATAACCAAGAAGCTACGCGGCCAAGACACAGAGCGTGGTGCGTCCTTTATAACCAAGTACAAGAAATTCATCGATGACCGATGGCGCTCTTGCACCTCCACCACGACCTTATCGTCGGTGTCCACGTTCCTCGCGCCCTCGCCATTACCGAGTGACGCAAATAACGACGGAAACCCGATTACCTATCGATCCCTGCTCGCGAAAGAAGATCGCGAGTCCAAAGAATCGGACTTGGAAACGGAGAATATCGAATACTTTGGGATTCAATCGGGATCCACGACGCCCTGCAGCGGATCACCGCCGCCGGCAAAACGCTGCCGAACAACCCTGACGTTCGAGGACGAGACGGTGGAAGAGCAGAGGCAACCGGCGAATCGAGCGGAAATTACGGATCCCTTCTTTAAAAAAGGAAGGAAGAGCGAGGAACGCTCGTTTCCGCTAAATTTGCCGTCGTGCGAAGAAACGCCGCACTGGAACATTCCGAAATCGACCTTCCTTCCTGACGTCGACCCGTCCGCTGTGCCCGATTACGATAATTGCGAAAACGCACAGCAACAAGTAACGCCTCGTTCGCGCATTTTGATACATGATTTTGCTTTTCGAATACTCGGAATTTTTTCGTTCTAAAATACGTAGTTTTCAATTCATATGCATTCCTCTGTTTAATATTAGACTTACAGAATTTTGGTAAAAATATATCGTTATTTCTTCAATTTTTGCTTTTAGATTGCTATACTTTAAGAAACACAATAAAAAAGTACTCTTTAAGTCATATACATTGATACTTATTCTTTATTTTATAAACATACTTATCTTTATTTCTATATATTTTTTGAACAATTAGAAGAGATATCAAGATGACGCCTATAAACAGGGTATGTCACGAAGCACTGCTACGACACGAAACTCTCGAGACCGAAGAAACGTGCCCCGCGCGATAATTACATGGATGATTGCTCTCTGCATGTGGCTAAAAAGGAAGCTGCTGCATCTACTAAATAGCGTAAGTTTCTTGGAATAGATTCAAGATTATTATCTCACAAGGAAGAATATTAATAGATACGTGTTTATAAATAATATTAATCACAGAGTGCCATGCCATTATCGCGCTATTATTTAAGAATGGATTCCTGATATAATTTGGACTATAAATAATGCGATGGCGGCAGAAAATTCTATAGATAAATTATTTATTATTTAACATGAGTTTTTCTAATATTTTCATTCACTTCAAGTGATTTAAATCAATTCTTTTTCAGGCTTACAGGAAAGTACAGATGATAAACTCATTTTTAACAAAAAAATCTCCTCGGACGAAGAATCTCTCGGAGGAAGAACGAATTAATTATCTGGTAACGACGTTGCATTTTGAAAACGAGAAGACGCTGTGCGCACTGTCGGTGAAAATGACACGACTTTCAACAGATCTCGTTCAGGTAAATGTTTCAAATCAAACCGAGCCGACTGATTAAAACTATAGTTTTGCGTTCGGTTTTGTCAGTGTTTGAGATTCATGGATAATTTTTTTATCAAATTGGACGCATTAAAAAATATATTTTATAAGATATACATCTTCACATTCTTTATTTCTTAAAATTAAGATAGATTCTTTTCGTATCCAGAATGTGAAATCAAGTCTTTGTGTCAATCTTTGCTTCGCTGAAAAACAGAACAGATCAAAACGAAAACAAATCTATCATAATAACAAGAGAATGTTTATATCGTACAATAATATATTTTTTTACTTGTGTTGCAGATACGAACGAGCATTGAAACCGAAATGAACGTCCTTCGTGAAGCCAATAAAAAAATAGTCGAGAACAATGCAACGATGATGCAGGAGTTGAAAAAATTGCACGAAATATTGGAGAAAATGCAATCAAAATCCCCGCAATCGATTCCCTTATCCTCTTCGTTCCCTTCCTATCCTCCGCCTCCTCCCCCGCCGCCTCTTCCTCTGTCCGTCCCGCCATCCTCCTTGACATTTCCCCTGAAAACACAGGACTCAAAATTAACAATGTATGGATCACCACCCTGTCTTCAGCCCCTTTCTTCAGCATCCGTGCAATCAACGATGTCGTTGACACAACCGACAACTCCCAATAGCAGTAAAAGTAACAAAATCAGTACGCCTACAAGGAAGTGCTTCACGCCGTCGTCCAACAGGCCGCGCATCACCGTCGAGGATCTCCTGAAAGTCACCTTAAGAAAAGCTCCTCAAAGTGCCAAGGTACTTGAACAAAGATTGATTACTCTGCAGAAACTAATTAACTGATTAAGAAAATCCTGATAAAACTCCGCAAATTAGCAAGAAACGCCACCTATCACCTGCTATCTATCATCATCACTGCGATAAGAGCACAAATATAATCTCTATGATGATTATACATATCTTACAGTTAGATATATTTTACGAGATTACGCTTCCTTAATTCTAGAATTTAAATTCGATTAGAATTTGTTACAAATTAAATAAACTTTTAAATGCATGGCTCGATAATAAAAATCATAAAAAAATTATTTTAATAAATTTAAATTATCTTGCCAAAAAATAGTCTTAAGATTAATCTGAAAATTGCTTAGAAAGAAAAAATTTGATCCGCAAAAGTTGTAACATCTTGGCTTCTGAACCTCAGAATAAATTTTCTTCACATTTCCCTTTTGATCTTTCGATAACCAAGAAAATTTTTCATTTTAGGAAAATAGACGAAACTCTATACAAGGTCCGGCCGTGTCTCTGGAGATGCTGCGCAACGTGAAGCTCAAATCTACCAAACGCAGATCTTGTGATCAGACCGGAAGATCACCGAGAAGCCGAATCATGAAAAATCGAACCGCGTCGAATATCAATCTTTCGCCGATTCTAACTGGATCAGAACAGAATCTGGAACGAATTTTACGACAGGTAAAACTGACCCGACCGAGGAGACTTATCATCGAATCGAGTAGCTTCCAGGATGATTTCGTGAAGGAGACGCAGTCACTCGAAACGCTAACGCACAGTTAGTCGCAATCTAGATTTGATCAATTCTAGTATCAAAAAATTTCTCATTTTTAATTGTCTAAAATTTCAATTAACCGAAGACGTATCACAATTCGTGGTATAAAACTCTGAAGAGCTCTGAGCTCATTGTTTTAAATAGTTTCTCCACAATTGGCTGGCTGAGAACTTAAAGCGACGTTTTTAATATAAAATTATACCCAAAGCATAGATTCGTAATTACTTTATTTGTAGCTTTCATGTGTGTGGTTTTACAGAAAAAAGATTGTATCCGGTGTAATCGCATCGATTGTAATACAGAGCGTAAGAATGCATGCGGATCCAAAAAACGCAAAAATTGGCTTCTCCGAACGATGATGAATCGTGTCGCTTCGCTTTATTATTCGCTCATAACGATCAATTCAATTCACAAGTGCCGAACTCCCTTCAAATAACAATAACGCAAGCATTATGATAAAAATACGCTGTTTAGAATCGAAAATTTCGAACGCATGCAGCAACGAAAGAGCGAGATCGGACAGATTCAAGGATGTTCGTAAATAAAATTTACATTATTTTGGAAATGGATCTGAATAGCCTCTCCGACCTACATCCTGTGAACGAACGATCAAGTTGAGAATTCATCGGCATTCAGAGACTTGTCATCATTCGTTGCTACTTCCTCCTTTCTTCGATACGCGTTTACGCGCCCAAATTTCTCAAAAAACGCAATTTGCCGCACAGAATACACGCCATGTACGTGAAATATATTCATATGCATTACATATGTATCTACATACGCACATAAACGTATGTACATACATATGCTCGTGCGTTTTACAGCCTGCGACGGCATCCGTCGCGCTCCGCAAGTTCTTAACTTAGAGCTTTGTTTACCTTGCATACGATTTTTCGCGCGATTTAATCTCCTCGGTTATAAGCGACTCGATATCATCATATACTCGAGTTGATTCTGCACGCCGCTCGGATGATCCCTCGCGTCGAGATTATTTCTTTTTTTTTTTTGGGTTTCTTTTCGTTTTTTTTTTATCCTACTTATTACGCTCTTACAATTACATTCGCAAATATGCTTACTTATTTTACGCGAGAGCCGGTTGATATTACTTTGAGTTTATTCCTCATAACGTATCATTTGTAACATGATTATCGATTTTTTTTTTTATTGTTACAATACCTAAATACAGGGGCACGATGGACACCAATTTTTTTTCTGCTTTTCTTCCGCGCCGAGTTTGCGATCCGCGCTTTTTCCCGCCGGATTTATCACTCCCTTCGTGTTGTTAAAACGCCTCGCTTCTTTGCTGCGCTTAAAATTCGGCGTCTCCGGTATCATCGTCTCCTCTCCGTCGCGATATCAGCGAGAAAACTGAGCGAGCTTAAATGGATTTTGGTAGTTCTAGCTCTATAGTAAGTAGATAAGTTTAATACGTAAAATGGTCGATAATTCTAGCTAAAGCCTTGCCTCGCCGGTCTGAAGAAAGGATATCATTTTTTTTTGTTTTGTGTTTTGCACTGTAAATCTACAATCCCGATAGAGACTCCTTATTACAAGAAGAACAATGGAATGTGTGTCTCAACGTAAAAATCGTAAAAGTCGATGGAATGGCTCGTCCATGGATCAGCGAATGGATAATTACAAACACGGATCGACTATCGTCTATCCGGATGGAAAAGACGAAGATACAGAGAGATGTATGGTCTGTCTATCTGTACGCGCGTGTGTGTGTGTGTGTTTCTGTATGTCTGTATAGAGTGTATGTACGTGTGTGCGGGTGGAAAAAGTCGGGGTACAGTCATTTATTCTGTCACTTCTTATACCACAGCAATCGATATTAGTTTACACAACGGGCGTATGAAAACGTACAACCACATTACAGACTAGCTAGATAGTTACTTGTTTGCTGTGAGTAACGTAATGCTAAAGAGGCTCACCTACGATAACGTAATCTTTTCATCTTTTTTTCCCCTTCTTTCTTTCGTTTTTTTTTTTCCTTTTTTTCCCGTCTGTCAATTACGCGACGCCGCGCGTCGCGAGCTGACGCGATGAAGACGCGCTCGCTTTGGAAAGATGCGCCAGGGATCAACGTAATCGAGAGATCGCGCCGGAATTTCGATGATGCACTTCGGTTTCTCACTCATTGCTAATCTCCTTCGCGACATGATCTCCTTCTGCGAGAGCTCACTATCTGGCGAACGATGTTATTGCATTTGAAAAGGTACAGAGGGGGGAGAGAAGGGGGGGGAAGGGCGGCAGCGGCGGCAATCGAAATAAGCATGTTCCTTCGTCTTCGGTTCGGCGGTTGCCAAAAATTCACGCGTCTTAGTTTTTCTTTCTTCTTCTTTTTTTTTTCTTTTTCTTTTTTTTTTCTTTAGGTACTTATTAATTATTTACATTTCATTCATATATTAGTTGTCGCCGAAAGTACATATGTTGTTACAGAATACTAGCTCGAAAGCAAGATATCTGCCTTGACAATTGGCAATGAAGGCGCCGCCGTTATTTCCGTAAAGAGAGAGAGAGAGAGAGATAGATAAAAGAAAAAAAATAGTGAGAGACAAGGGCAAACGTCTTGAAACGAATCGATTTACACTAAATTTACACGCATACGCTAACACCGTAGCAATTACTTCGCAAATACGAGACTGTGCGCGCAGTAAAAAAGCGAGATTTGAAAAAAATGGGCGGGGCGGGGAGGGGGGCGAAGTGCAAGAAACTGACGAGCGGATTGACGAGGGATGTAAAGACAGACGAATGTATAAGCGTGTCTCGAGACTGACGAGTTCGAGCGATCTGTGCGCTGTACTTTTTTTTTTATCTTCTGTTACTGCGGAGACATGCATGGGACACATAATTCGTTCTCACTCGCTCGGAAGGATCGGTGGCGAATTTACATAGACGTGTAATCCAAAATGTGGTGCACTGGAATCAGAGGGAGGAGGGGGGGGGGCGCTCGCGAGACCGTCAACCGCACGTGAAAATTTCAGACGTATGCAAAGTGCAAATACAGCGTTTCCTCTCGATACGCAAAAACGGGGCAATTAAAAAGTGTCTCTCCTAAATGCTTTTGCAGTCTCTCTATTTACCGCAGGGTGCGTGTCCTTTTCTTTCCGTTACTTTCCGCGTGCTCTGTAACTCAATTGTAGTATAGTGTGTACGTTATAATGTAGATTAAAACGCAACCGAATGGCTTATTTATTATTATGTTTGTTATCGCTGCTGATACTTGCTGCTGCTGCTGCTTTGTATTTTTTTTTTTTAGAGTAACCGTACAAGTGCGCGCTTTTAAGAGCCACGCAAATTTCTAAAGATCTCCCCTTCCCACCCCGAACTGCCACCTGCTGAATTGGTTTTTTTTTCTTTTGCTTACGAGTTATTAAGAGTTTTTTTCTTGTATCTCAGTTTTATATGCGCAAGATAACACTCACTACAGCTAAAGTTACGATACGTCCTGATCTTCCACGTCTTGCAGCTGCTCCTTTTGTTCGGCTTCACCTGTACAACAAACGTATGTTACATTAGTATTAATCATCCAGGCGAATGCGACACTAAACAAATTAAACAACATGTTTTGACAATTAAAGTTCAAATAGCAAGATTGATTTAAGGGCAGTAAAGTAGCTTTAGGTGAAATAGTAACTTTGTGACGAATCACTCATTGTCCAATCGTTTTAACGCGGTAACAATTGTTCGAGGACGCTCACCGGGTACAAGCATGCTGCGGGGACGTTAGGGAAAAGGGTGTATCTACGTTCAGGCATCGTGGGTATCGATAGCGCTATCGCCTTGCTGATCAGACTCGGATTCTAAATTACAAAACAATGATTCTGTGTTCGAAGATTGCGTGCAACTTCACTTCTTACAATTCGGCTAAAAACGAGAGACTGCAAACGGCAGTATAAATAGAAATTTGCGGGATGGAGAACAGGATACTGCGTTTTACTATTCATTTTATAAACCCCTTGGAGGAATCGATAGTTGTGAAAAGCGTAACGAACACTTTTATGTATATTATAATAACTAGTTCAGTGATATATAGGGTGTCCCACAACTGGTGACCTTACTTTTAATAACAAGTTTCTACTACAAGAGTAGTTTTCAAAGCGCGGAATGATTAAAGGGAAAGGTTCACTTTCGAAAATCAGCCTCGAGGAGAAAAGGAATTATGTAATCGCAAGTGGTCGAGAGGAAAAGCGCATCGCTTCTGGGACACCCTAGATAAATTGCGTGAGATGAGAGTATTCCAGATAAGATCGTCCTACCACAATGCATGATATTCGCTCGCGTATCGATCGGGCAGGCGCGCGCGCGGGCGGGGTATATGTCGTGCAACGCATTCTAGCGTAATCAAAACACATCCCTAACGGCGATTTTGCCCTTTGTAAGTAAGTGGGACACACTAACCGTCTCCCTGCATATCCGACGTCCACAGAGTAAGGTTATCCCTGAGGAGTTGCATTATGAGGGTGGAATCTTTGTAGCTCTCTTCGGACAGCGTGTCCAGCTCGGCGATCGCGTCGTCGAAGGCCGCCTTCGCTAAACGGCATGCTCTGTCAGGACTATTGAGAATTTCGTAGTAGAACACGGAGAAGTTGAGCGCTAATCCCAGGCGGATGGGATGGGTCGGTGGGAGCTCCGTCATGGCGATGTCGCTCGCAGCTTTGTAAGCCACCAGGGAATTCTCCGCCGCTTCCTTCCTGTCGTTACCGATGGCGAACTCTGCCAAGTAACGGTGATAATCGCCCTTCCTGAACACGCATTAACAGCAAATTAGTACAATTTTCCAAGTCACTTATTTCTAAAGTAATGATATAAATATCAGGCAATTTAACAATGAAAAAAGTACTAATGAATAAAAACGAGAATGTAAAGTATGTCAACAATTGATTTAGATTGTTTTCGAACACAAAAGATATCCATTAGAGGCCATAATCTGATATGAACTCTTAATTGAATCATTAATTATATCATTCTAGCGTAATTGTATTTCCAATACCGCCTGCTGGCACAATTTTTATGACCGATATATCTTTATCTCGCTGAAAAACTTCAATTTAGTTCAAACAAGTTTTAGAAGATTATTTGGTATTAAAGTACTCTCTAAAAGATTGTTACATTTTATAATAGAAGACTTTGGATTCCCCTGTGGAGGCGCACGGTATCAGATGCTTGTCCAAGACGCCGAGGATGTCGGCGCAAATATCCCTGAGCTCCTTTTCCACTTGAGATCGATACTGACGAATCATTTCTAGTTTTCCTTCGGCGCCCTTATTCTCTTCCTTCTGTTCGATGCTTGAGATTATTCTCCAGGATGCTCTCCTGGCGCCGATAACATTTTTGTATGCCACCGAGAGAAGATTCCTTTCTTCGACGGTGAGCTCTACGTCCAACGAAGCCACCTTCTTCATCGCCTCTACCATCTCTGCAAAATGTCGACAGGCATGAGAACGATATATTTCAACATTTATATGCATATTTATTACAGAGGATTAAAAATGTTATCGTCATGTACCAAAAATTTGCACAGAAATTACTTTTATACAACAAAGTTTAACAAGCAACTTTTTAACATTAAACGAATTATAAAAGCATTTATGTTATATAAATATGAATTTCGTATAACAAAAATTATTCTCAGAAAAGCAGAAATTATTTTCTGTAAAATAAATATTATTTCAACGTGTCATCTTTCAATTTTTCTACGTGTTAATGCATTTTTGCAATTACATTTTTATCTGCTCGTATAACATTTAATTATATAACATTTAACCTACTCATTTTTATCTGCTCATGTAATATTAATAATCTTCCACTTTAAATAACAAAATATCTCAAAAATGAAGTTCTTAGATTATCAAAATTGCTACGTTAAAGATAACAATGTTCCAGAACAATTTCATATAGGCAGCACAGTTTTATCACACATCAGTTTGACAAACAATGAAACCTGTCGAGAGTAATTTTACACTCTATATCTTTTTAAACGTGCTTCTTTCTCTCTCCTCCTATATTTATCAAAGTTCAGGCTATCGAAGGACTCCTCGTAAATCACAGCAGCGAAATGAACTCCGTATCGCTTGTGAACCTGTTCGCTTAAATGGCGTATGGACGTTTGGCCTATAAAATGTTACGTGCCCATCGCGGATGAAACGATAGCGCCGAGTACCTTTGGAATAAAGGGGATGAACGCGCCAGTATATATTAATCGACTGCCCCTTGAACTTTGCACGGAAGTAACTAATACGTATTTATCGGTTCGAGTATATTCGCTCAGAAGCGTGGATTGTTTAGCCTTCATGCGTTTCTATCGAGTGCCCACTTGATTTCTGTCGTTTTCAACTGGCGAGAGATTCAACTGGCAAATCTTTCAATAGAAATATATATTGCATAGAGTAAACGCTAACAAATATTGAAATTCAAACATTCAAATATTGAAATTAAATTTATAGAAGCAGACAAAAAAGATTAGTCAATCAGCATGAAGGGTGTTTAAGAGGCTTTTAAATATTAAAAAGCAAATATTAAAAAGTTACATAAAATCTTTAAAGTGCAATGAATTGTAAATCCCCGTCCATAAACTTGAACGTCGAGGCCTGCAAATGTTACAGACGGTATTGGAAACAAATTGATGATACAACAATGACGATTACATATGCGAATCGGAAAAGGCCTGACTGCAAGTTGATATTCCCATTCGAAGCGCGAGCTTGAATTCCAGAAACCTTTCATCCTCTGTTAATCCGCGCTCGCTCACACTTGGCGCGCTTAAAATGGCACAGGCGTACCTCTCGCGAAGAGAGGAAGAAAAGGAGGAAGAATGTGGCAGCTAAACTCTCTGAAACCTGGAGACCCATAATAAACGACGGCGGTGAGGACGACACGCGTAGATCGATGCGTGGATCAATGCGTCGCACGCACCGATGTATCCCGGTCTTTAGTGTCAAGTTAAATACGAGGTGGCTTCAAGTTCATGGGGGGTGAATGTGACGTAAAGCGGGCGTTACAATGAACAAGGTATACGTATGTCAGTCGAGGTGTGCAGCAACGTGGGATAGCGGCCAGATCAATACTTTCCTTCTGCTAACCACCCTCTCTCCCCCCCTGTTCTGGCCTCCTCCTCCTCTCGCCACCTTCTCTCACCCCCTTCGCTCACCCTGCGCCCGTTCCGCGACTAAACTCACCCTTCTTCTTCTATCTCTTTCTTTCAATATCTATCAAATTCGTCTCTCCTTTTCCTCCTACACGTCCTGGGAGTCACCGCTGTTCCGGCCAGCATCGATTACGCCAATATCGGTTAGGTAATCTTGATTAGCCAATCTTGACCGAATTTTCAGGTAAACTCCGTGTTACAGGTAGTAATCTGATTAGAAAGGGATAGTGCGGCCCGCCGATCCGGAATTACTTCGTGACCTTGTCGAGCCTAATAGTCCTTAATACTTGCTCTAATTACGAATAACATTCGGAGTGGAAAGTGCTTTCGGGAAAAACTCGAAAGTGACGTTTGAATGCAAATTTTTCACCGCGAGCTTCTCCAATAAAGTATTAAAACTGTCAGCAATCACTAGAAACGTAAAATCTAGCGAGAGTTTCTAGACGACTAGAGGCGACAGGTTGAATCGATTTCCAGTTCAGCGATTACTGCGATCAATTTTCTGCGTACAACATCGAAATACCGATCCTTCACTTTCAAAGGATATTCCGAGAGAAAAAAGGAACGCGACTTTTAAAATTAAAATTCTTAATTTAGTGCGATTGACGTTTAACCAATTAAAAGTGATTTCATGTTGAAAACAGCATTCATTAATTGGAGCGGTTCTGAAGTGAAGGAAACGAAGAGACTCGCCAATTAAAGTGGCTTTATGGAAGAAACAAAGATTCCTTAATCAGCGCCGACGTGTCGTGCGAGATTTCTCAATCTCATTAGACAGATCAGCAAATTTGCAGTCTCGCTTTAATGCGGATTTATATGAATGACAAAGGAAATATGAAGCGTTACAACATTATTCGGAAAAGGCTCTCATCTTCCGACTCTTTCGCAATAAAATTCTCATTAATCTTATCGCGGATGAAATTCACTTTCTTGTGCAACGCCCAGTACATTCCGATGAACGCAACCCCCCCGGGGTCCATGCACCTCTCCCTACCTTCGCAGTCAAATGCGAATAAGTCACACGGAATGAATGCATTCCCACGCACGGTAGGAAAAGGAGGGAAGAAGGAGGGAATCGCCGGAGCGGGGAAATTTAGCCGGTGCTTCGGAATCCCCGCGAGAAAGATGCGTGGCGGCGCGCCGAAACGCGCGACATAGGATGGAGAAATTTGACCGTCCCTCCTCCCCCCGCCGTCACTTCTTCATCCTCGCCCGTCCGCCGCTCTCGTCCGCTCCCTCCTCGCTCGTTCGATTGTTCCCTTCCCCCGCCCCTGCGCTCGGCGGCGAACACGCGTTTTGCTTTCGCCAGAAGTGGATTTGTGAATCGGCTTGTACTTTTTATTACCGGAAGGCGCAATGACAGGCGCTACGTAGTAGCGGCGTAATCGATACGAGTGCCGACGCTCGGCGATGTAATCGCGCAAATCCCGCGACGTTCGCACGTTCGCATCGATATCAAAAATATCGTGTCAGAAGGCGTTTTTGGGCAGAGCCGGGCGCGTTACCGAACCCGCGCCGCCGAGCAGGAGGAAGGACTCCGTGAAAAAATGCGCCAAATCCGTGATTCGCAGGGATCATTTTACGTTCGAGAACCTGAAACTTGACGAATCACAGATTAATGCACAATCGGGATGCGACGAGGAGAGATCAATGAAAATGCGCGGCAACAGTCCCCCGTCCGTCCGTCCATCCATCCGTAAGATTCGTTTTACCTGCGGCTCGCAGAGCGAACCTCGCGGAGAGGCGCGCGGACTCGCCTCGTTCGTCGCGAAAGAGGATTTCGATCGCTCAATTAGCGAACGATCCGAAACAAATCCGTAATCAGCGGATCCTAAGAGAAGATCTAGTTTCCCGCCCGTCCTCGCTCGACTTGGCACGCGAAACTTGGACTCGGAGATGGAAATCGGAGAGGAGAGCCCCGGATGAGGAGGAAGAAGAGGAGGAGGACACCGGCCATTCTCTCGCAGTCTCGGTCGATCGGTTCTCGAGCTGGCGATTTTCTCCGCACGCATTCAAGGCCAGATGCCACGAGTGGAGCACGCGAGTCACTACGTGCGCCCACCCGCTCTCGCTCGGCACGGCTCGATTCGCTCGCCCGTAGTAATAACCCGCCGGCGATTAGCGTAGACGCCTCACGCCGTGTCGCGCCGCTCCGTGCGTGCCTATGCGTCACAGTCGTCACGCCGTTCAGGAGAAACGTACTTCGTCGGCTTATCTGCTGAGACCGAGGGGGGCCCCGGCGACGGCGGTGAGGAAGAACAATCGAGCTAGAGCATGAGAGTACGCCTAGCAACCGCGTGCTATCGCGCGCGTCGTTCCCCGACAGAGTATGAGAGAGAGAGAGAGAGAGAGAGAGAGAGACAGAGAGGCAGAGAGAGAAAGAGAGAGAAGGGAGGTGGGGGAGAGGAGAAGACGACAAGCGCGACGAAAACGACGTTCATCATGCGTACGCCTTGTCGGAACCCGGATTCACGGCCGGATTCCGGGGGAACGGACGAACGGTTCGGGCGGGCGGGCCTCGCCGGATCGACCGCCGGGAATGACACGAGTCGATATCGCGTCCTCCGCCGCCGCCGCCGCCGCCGCTGCCGCCACCACAAAGGAACGCCGCGTCGGCTACGGGTACGCCGTTAACGATCGGCGTTTCGAGTTTCGCGGTCACGCCGCGAATTTTGACAGATCTAGACGCGAAAACGGATGTCGGAGGATAACCGCGAAAGGTTAATCGTCAGATCCACCGGGGAGGGGGAGGGGGGAAGGCGAACGTTCTTCCCGGCAAGACGCCGAGGCGCACGATCGAGGACGACGATCGGCGTGCGATCGGCAACGTGAGGGCTTGACGCGTGAATTGACGCGTTGCACACGAAGGAGAGGGTATTGGTCGGGTCGGCCGGCTGGGTCCCGTCCTGCCGGAAAAATATCTACTCACCGTCATAGCGTTCCGCTTGCTCGGCCAGTTTCGCCTTGTAAACGTTGTCCTCCCGTTCCGACATCTCGGATGATCGCAGATTTCACGGGTGCGTAATCGAGAAACGCTCACGGGGAGAAAACGCGCGCACGAAATGCTCGTCGGCACGACCGTCCGAAATACGCACGAAGCACCGCTCCTCGAGACGTACAGCCACTCGCAAGCTCACTGACCAAGATGGCGGCGCCCGCCAACAATCGAAAGCAGTTCCCTGTGTCTCGCGCAGCAGCTCTGCGGATGGACTCCGCTCGCCATGCGCTCGCGTCGTGTATTACTACGCCCGTGACGTCATCCGCCGCCGCCGCCGCCGTCGCCTCCACCGTCCTGATAGCGCATGATCCGCCGCACCGAACCGACTTGGACAAATATCCTGTCCCACTGCGAAATATATCCAGTCGTTCGCGTCGTACATACATCCGTTACCCATGCAATAAATTCGTTTATGCAAATTGTAAAAACTTCCTCGTGCCTCCATCTTTCACAGTCACCTTTTCGCAAAACCGTTCGCGGCGGAAACCAGGAACGTGGAACGCGAACCGAGAAACCAGATGATGAAATTTCAACAACATCGAAGATCTATTTTTCCCTTCTCTCGTTCGACGATTTTGGTTAAATCATTTGAGCAACTAGCATTTGATTCAAGTGTTTGGTATATTTACAAACACCGGAAAAGAATCTTCCAATTTTACGAAACAAGCGAAACAAAAGTTGACGCAAACTGATACAATCTTTGATCGAAAGAAATCAAACATTACTTATAAAATATTTTACAACAAATTCACGATCACTAATTAGTGTTACATTTAGCTTCGTTAATCGATTCGACACAATTTGTTCGACGAAACAAAAAAGCTTATAAATAAATACAGACTGATGATCGACGATAGATGAAAGGAGATGCCAAGAAAACAATCATGTGCTACAAAATAAATATCCTTTTGTAGCGAAGCATATTTGTATTTATCTTTTTTTCCACACGAATTAGCTAATGTACAAGCGCTAATAATCCGAAGACAGCTTCACTACTCGCTTCACACTCTCGTCGTATCTTGTTAAATTATTTATTTTCATTAATATTTTTTTCGTATTTATATGTATACAGGTGTGTTGTATAATATATAATCATCTCGATTATTAGAAACTATTAAAATTATAATACAGCCAGAGGACTTAGTGTAACGATCATCATCATCATAGCACATTGGCTGCAAGCTAGCCGTTCCGCTCATCATCAAGGCGTTACTCGCGCACGCGGCGCTAGATACAGCGTAGATATAACGTCACGAATGGAACGGTCTATGTGCTCATAAGTAAGAGGGATATACAATAGGTTTCATCAATTAATCCTTATATGTACATAACTCCGACATACATACATACATACATGCATGCATACATCATACATACAAACATACGTACATACGCAAATTATTCGCTATAAATCGGTCGCGCATGTCTACATATGAATGTGTGAGTGGTATTTTTTTTCCTTTTATATTAGAGCGTAGTTTCAAAAAAGAAACGATCGTTAAGCTCGAGACCCGATTTCGGTTTCTTCGATCGGGGCAGAGCAGCACTTAGGAGCCTTTGATTCGTACAGCTGTCTTTTTATCGTTTTGTCCGTTTAGTGTTACATTGCATACTTCCACATTGCAACTTGACCAAGCACTCGAAGTGTGTCTAGCATGTTGAAAATCTGCGACGCATGTGAAACAGCGTAGAGTTTTCTTTTCCGAGAACACCTGGCCAGACTTGGAAGCGCATCATCTCGTCGACGGTTTTACATTATTTACGTCGCGCAACATGTCAGCGAACGGTCGTCGTTGCATTCGAGATCGTCACGTGTATCCGAAATAGTCATATAAATCTTCGAATTTTACACATTCGATTTTTATATTCTCTTCCTTAAATTCGTACAGTATCGTCGGGTTTCACTTCTATTCCCGACACTTTAGGTATTACAACATTCCGCTAATTAAACAAACGGTGATTATGCAATGAGGAAAAAATTGCGACAAAGTTATAAACGCGTGATAGTACGGATCAAAATCCAATTAGTTTTCTATATGTATATATTTGGAAATTTTTCTTCGTATCTCTGTTAAAATAGATTATTTACATAAATTCGCGTTAAATTGCAGTTCAATTTTATTCCTCATTTCGCACTTATGCAAACTCATCAATGATATAAATAACGAAATATATAAAATTCTCATGTATATAATGGGCACGACCAATTTCGGAAAAACTTAAACTCGGATTAGTATGCTTCTAGGAAATTAAGTTCGTATTTGTCTCTAAAGATAAATTGAGAATACTGATTATAAAGTGGTACATTGAGCTTGATTCGATTTCCCCTCCCCCTCCCAGTAATGGACAAAAGTGACTTTGTGATCTTATTATTGCTATCTCAGTTGTAGGCTGTAGTAACAAAATATACGAGCTTTACTCGATTGATGTTTGTACGAATATCGATTACTTGCGATTTCGCATATGCGACTAATGTGGCGCGAATTTAACGGGGCCGAAAAATTTAAGAGTGATTGCTCATTAATTTTGCAAAAAAATTAGATACACGTTAATTGACTATTGAATTAAGTAAGCTTGATTGCGAATAAAAGACAGATGAAAGGAATGATAGGCGAAAGAAACACGAAAGGGGGAAAATATAGGAGAATCAAAGAATAGCAAAAGCGATGACACACAAATACAAACTGCATATTGTACATGTCAGAATGCCAACAACTTTGCCCACTTCTCATTGGAAGAATTAATTGCTAAACCATATCCCATTAACAACCCCACTATCACGTTAACGTTATTTCATAAGAATTTTAAGTCTCGACCGTGAACGGTCACGACCTCTCTAATATCGGCTATCGTCACTTTTAAACGATCCAGAACTCCTCCGCACTGTGTGTATGTGACGAGTCACATTGCAATCGAATATAACTAAACTACTAAAATATGTTTGGACATCGCGACCAGTCACCTTTGCTCTTACAATCCCAATATTCGTTATTAAAAACGTAACAACGGCTGTCTGTGAACGGGTCCTGCTTCTTGCTGAACCACAGCGGTTCGTACGTTTCGTAAGGTAATCCTGCAGAGAAGCGAATAATTCCAATTAGCAAAAGCGTATTTTTCAGAGAGAGAGAGACACAAATCAATTATGTATAAACCTACCTTGCGTAGTAGCCTTCTCGGCGTCGTGTTCACGCGCCCGTCTAACAGCTCTTTGTTTCTCTTCTAAACGCAATTTCTCCGCGTTAGCTTCATCCCATCGTCCGCTTTCCATTAAACGTTGGTCAGGCCTCAGTCGTGAATCCGTCGGGGCTATACCCTCCTCCGGTTCGTTCAATTGACATGCTAATTCCGTAAATGAATAATATTTCTCACAGTCCTCGCTGTAAATTAAAATTTCAAAATATCTCATGCGTGCTAAAAGTAAATCTACAATATACAAAATTGTAATTGATCGTTTTTGGAGACATACATCTTATGTATCCCATGCCATAAAAACTGAAGTAAATAAAAAATCTTTATATTATATAAAATTACATAAAAAAATAATTTAAATAGAAAAATTAAGAAATATAAATGTAAAAAGCAAAAAAAATATTTGTCCTAACCAGCCCAACCTCTGCGTATTATGTACTTACGTAGGCATACGTCGTTTCCAAGCTAATATGTAGGGACCCGTTTTGTAGACTGGGTTATCAGGTGTGCCAGACGTGCTGATCACTGGAGCAATTTCGATTTTCGCGTCCCACGTACCCTGCACCACCCACTTAACTTCCTTGTTCGAATTCATGACTACGCCCTTTACCTTGCGTTGACTGTCTCGCGAAAAGTATGAATATGGTATGTACTTCAAATGGCACTTGATACCTTCCTTATGATTTACAATATCCATATCGCCGCTCTGATCCACCCACAATTTCCCAACTATAATATTATGTACTGTAGTGGTGACTTTACGCCATGTGTAGTGCTGCAGCCCACTGTCGAATTCCAGATGAGCAGTGCCCAGAGGAATCACCTGATGGCAAAATTCAATCCTTAGATAACGGTTTGTGCAACCGGCTTGATGTATTACAGGGGCTTCGAAAAATACATCTAAGGCTTCAGAGAAAGAGCAATTCGGCGATAAATAAATAAAATCTCGTACCTGAAGATACTTTCCGCGAAATTTAGAAGCCATTGTGAATTCTTGCCAACACCGCCACTTCTTCCCTTCGCAATGTTGAGCTACCATGGGCGGATGATGGGACACTTGCTCCGAAATCGCGCGCCATCCAAGGTCGTCCGTACGATCACATTCAAAAGTTTCACCCAACAGAGGATTGAAAGGCTTTCCCGTTCTAGTGGCGGTTGTAGAGTAACTAGATATAGTAAACGCGGCTACGTAAGCCATCTGCTCGTAACTATCTGTACATTCTGCAGCCCTATTTAAGGAAGAAAAATTACAATAATTATATATCTTTTCTCGTAAAGATGTAACAAAAGATATAGTATTAAATGTACCTGTCAAGGATATCCGCATACTCATAATCTTCCGTCAATCGTTGAAGCATACTAAGCGGTTCGGAGAAATTTACTGGCATGGGAATTTTCGATAAATCTTTGCCAATACAATTTTTCATAATACTCCATAGATTCAAGGGATAATTTGGTTTATCAGGTACCCGAGTCCTTCGTTTCTTCTTGGAAACGGTGGTCATCCTGGTGCCACTACTGCCATTGCTGGCCTGCCAAGCTGCCTGTTGCATGGAAGACATTCTATTTTATAAATTCTTAAAACAGGGAGGAAAGTGTCATATTTGTGATCTGCTTACGTTGTCCAGATTGTCCACGCTCCTAACAGATGAGAGAGTCTGAGCTGCTGTAGAATCGGTCACAATAAGAAAGGACTCAGCGCCAGTGGAATCGGAAACGGGCAAAGGCGTTGGATCTCCTTCCGAACTGGAGCCATCGTCGCTACCTTGCGAATCAGTGCGATCTCTTGAATTATTCGTAGGTATGGTTAGAGTGAAAGTGTCTGATTCCTGCGCATCATAAAATTCAGCATTGTCTTCCTCATCCTCTGACGGTGACGTTGTGATTGCAGGATCTGCAAAGGCAAGATTTACCATTTGTCCTCGAATGGAACGCAGATGTGTCGTGTCAAAGTTGAAAAAATGTGATAAAAAAGTGAAGAGATGGGAGAATAAAGATCGTGGAGACCACCTTGAAAACACCTTGTCCAAAGGTCGCCTAATCATCCCGAGATAAGCATTAAGATAAGAAATAAAGAAGCAGGTGTCCATTGAGAGACGTGACACGATCACCAAATCCAAATTGCAAAGGAGACTGTGAAGGGGGCCATAGAAAACGGTGAAAACACAAACTGATATCATACCCGTCCGTACACAGTCGTCCTTGCTTTATCCGGCCGAGATCGTATCGAGCAATAAAAAATCTATAGACATCCCGCGTGCCCATCGGATCACGCATGCTACCGTTTTGAATTAATCACGCTAATCGGAGGCCGCGCTCGCACAGTCCAGCCCCCCTCTTCAATCATATCGCCTTCTCCCTGATTTTCAAGCGAATTGAATGAGTCGCGCGTCCGCACTTCGAATCACGGTCCATCGGCGATTAAATTATCGGAATGATCGCGATTGCAAATCACAAGAGTATTCTTCGTAGACACACGCGTTAGACCTGTTCCTTCCAGCTGCATTGTCGCGCACCTCTTTGCAACTTTTCTCTTTTCATCCCCCGCGTCTCTCTCTCCCCTTTTTCAAATAAACACTTTTCATTTAAACATTTTGTGGTGCGACACACACAGATAAACGAACAGATCCATCTGAAGAGGGAGACGTCGCACTGGCCACGATCGCATTCTCGTGCATTCGTGTAACGTAAAACCCGAGAACAGAGAACTTGAATGAAAATCGTGAATTCTGCAATTTTCACGAGTGTGAGATTGCGAGCCGTTATGAAACACCAATAACGAAGCGCTGACACATTCCGCCTTTTTTAGACCCGTCCGATTATTGTTTTGATGCTTTCGTCAATGCTGTCGATTAATAGCTTGAGCTCGGCACAAAAGAGGGGCCGATTCACAGTAGACGAGTTTTCTGAGAGAGAAAATATGTCGGAAAACAAATCTAATACCAATTCACGAGGACCACCCGATCAGACGTTCAACTCGGAAGTAACGAAAGCACACCCGTAATACATAGAGATAGATATATATATATATGTATGTTACGTTACCGTATATACAAGACACGACGCGAATATACACTCTTTTGTCCTATAGCTAACGCATTACGAACGTGTGCTTACGTAGACGACGGGTGACGAAGTCGCGCGACGATAACGCGTTGCATCCTCGAAGCCACCTAGCGCAAGCATGAGCAAATAAATATAAAAGGCGCCGAAATTTGAATTCTATTTTTACCATGCTTAATTAATAAATTTACATCGCTAAAAAGACCAGTAATTTTTGTATAATAAAATAAAATGCAAAACATCCAATGCGCTTATGGAATGTGAATATGTATTCGACAGTGAAATGCACCTTTCATCGCCAAGATATTTAATTTTAAATTTAATTTAATTACAAATTGCAATTTTAATTTAAAAAATATTTCTATTACGATTTCTTTATAAGAATAAACTATTCACTGTTATATTTTGTCAAAATTATGAATACAATTTTAAAGCTTGCAATAATTATAAATTTAAAAAATTAAAAAAATTTTGCATGTATCTTTTAAGAATGTTTAGTACCTATTTTTGAAATATTAGGAATTTAACAGAAATTTTACAGATTGTTCTTACATATGTTCAAAGACTTATGACAAAATTCGGAGTCGATTCACTGAAGCAATCAAAAGTTATAAGGATTTTAATTTGCAACGAATTTATCCGTGACTTTATGGAAAACGTGTAACCGTGTTGGCTAAAATAGATAGAAACATTTTTTTTTTTTGTTGAAGAAGTTTCTTTTTATACACTTTTTTGGTCACTATTTTTCCTTTCCATCGATAAGAGCCTACTTTTGGCATTGTCGATAAACACAACTAATCTTTATCCGCATGTCAAGCATAATTCATAAAATTCGAAAATTCTCAGAAAAAAAAACAACAGAAATTCAAAAGTACATTTCTGCACTCTACTTATGAATAAATGATAAGATTCTGTGCAATCTTTATTACTCAAACTATATGAGAAGAGCATATATTCGTCAAAATCAAATTTCAGCAACTTTTTGCTACGATTGTACGTACAAAACTTCCTTAAATAAACGGTCTTTGGCAGCAACAATGCAGTAAGCGAGAAGTATTAAAAAATTGAGTGGGTGAGCAAATGAATAATTATCGAATTATCGAAGAAATATGTATGAATGTGCGACACATAAATATATATTTACGCGAAGGCCTGTGTCCTCCCGTGGGCACCGCTGAAGGAATCGCGTGCTGTGCAGCTTCTTCCAGGTTGGAATGTTGCCTGGCTAACTGCTCGACCATCTTCTCTATTCGCGTCTTTTGGTCGCGTTCGTGCTGCAACATCTTCTTCCATTTAGGCTCTTGTTGTTGAGCTAGCTGCAAGTAATCACTGCTGGTCTGCAACAACACATATCGAACCCACGTTCAGAGCGTCGCGTCTCATATTAAAGATCACATCGGTATTATTAGATCATATTAGTGAGGAGAATGCCACTGCCAAGGACAATCTTGTGAGTGGAACTTAAGGCGATCGTAATTGACGTCAAGATTGAACTCTGTTCTGTGAATCTTATGTATCGTATGTAATCTTTGAACGTATGAATCATGTAAGTGAGTTATTGATTACATTTACATTTCGTACGTTACATTTATATATATAACATAAATCTTCATATATCTTGTTATGAATCAAAGACATTACGACGACACACAGTATGTTCACAAAGAAGCTCTCCGATATATGACATGCTAGAAAAAAATATGGATAGATTTTAAAACAAAAAAGTATAATTAACAAAGTTAAACGTATAAGGATTTGCATTGTCCCAAGTTTTATAGAGCTTCCTGAGTAAGTTTACGAAATTGGAAAGTATCGCCGCGCACACTGATTATTTTAAAGAACCGTTTATTATCTCACAGACTTACGCTAATCATAGCATTCGCCGCGATCCGGAAAAGCGTGGCTCGCTCGCTGACGGTCTTAAATTTTGCTGCTAATTCGGGGGACGGAGGCTCAAGCGTTTCCAAATCGGTTAAAGCTCGTTGAAGTGCAGCTCCCTGCTTGAATATCAAGTCATTGCACGCTTGCAGGTCCTCCAGCCGTCGCGTTAGATCCTTAATCACAGACGCAGTTTCTACGTTTTGATTGTCGTTATCTTGATACTCCTCCTCCTCTTCTTCTGAAAGAAATTTCACTGCATAAAGGACTAAAGCTACAACCAAAGGAAAGTGCAATGCGATATGTAAATGAATTGGCATCGATATTATACGAGCCGTTTCCAAGGCATTCATAAATTATGTATATGAACGATATATAATCTAAAACTATGTTATGTAAAACAAGAGCATTCGATAAATCATTTATAACGGAATATTCTACTGCTACTCAAACACTGGTTGATTCAATAAAACAAAATCTTAAAGATTAATCTTCTAACTGGAATATATATTTGAAATGTATATCAATCTTTAAATTCAGAATGTTTATAGGAAGATCCTGAAATTATTTCCTCTTTGATTATAATTTACATTTCTTTAACAGAATTTAGAAATATCAACTTTGTGAAAGATTGTGAATCTTGAATATTATATATGTATTTCAGATATGAGGCTTTAAATTAAGTGCTCGCGTGGCGAAAAGTAGCGCAAACGTCACAGTATTAATGTAAGGTTTCTCAGGCTCATTCAAACGGATCTAAAAAAATAAAATATTTATAAAGCTCGTAGAGGAACTTATATGGAAATCACGTTTGCATTTCGACAAAAGCAATTTATCCCTCGTCATTTTTGTTCAAAAATCAAATTTTCTCCCTTGTGAAAAAACGGCTTTCCACCGAGAATTCTAACAATCTTGTTACAAACCAGATTCCATCGCTTGAATAGCCTTGGCTTTTGCCAGCTCAAGGGCTGTGACCCACTGCTGTCGTTCCACTTCGGTCGACGCCTTGATGTGGAAGGTCTGCGTGCCGCCGTTGCTGACGACGAAGGTGCACGCATCCACCGTGTGTATTAAGGCCCCGTGTAAGGAAATCGTGCCGCGGCATGTGTGAGACATCTCCGCAGGGTTTCTGAAAACAGCGTAACGAAGACGCGACAGTCTCAGGAATGCATTCCTCGCTCGCTTCGGAATTGCCGAATGACACAGAGAAAGACAGACGTGAGTTTGCAATTATGAGGACTCGACTTTTCAACATTTTGTTACTTTTCTCTTTGTATTATTCGTCCAAGCGACCTCCCACACACCAATGTAACAACGATTGTCTGCGTTCATCTGTGACACTGTTATCTCACTCGCCTTGGGGAAGTGGGGGAGGGGGCGGTTAGGAGAATCGAAAAGTATAAGTTTATTAGCGTAAGAAAAAAAAAGAAAAAATAACGAAAACTATACTCGCGAAGCGATCCCATTACCATCCCGCAACGCTCCTGCGCGCGTCTACAAAAATGACCGTCCCTCAGATCCAAATTGTCAAATGAATTCTCTGCGTAATTATTCCGTCGCACGACGAAACTACAATCTCAGGGAGGAGAAGCCCTCAATCGGATCATGCACGTGAGGTCACTCGGGTTAATCGAACACGCAACAATTACGACTCCACGTGAAAAAAGGAACAGGTCATGCTATCACGCTTATATACAGGGTGTCCTGCGAGACAAAATAGGTCGTCAAGCTCCGGCGATGCGTTCCGTTCACTTTAAAAGTGAAAAGAAAAGGTCACAAGTCCGACAATTCTGCCTTTCCAAATTGCAAGTGGTTTATCGTCCGCGACAGAGGTTCACAAAAATACACCTCAACAATGCAAATACTACCGTCGCGCTTTTGTGTCATCAGACGATAGTAATACCTATTGTATTCCGTCAATCTTTCATCAATCTGTATTTGAATTTATAAAATGTCAATATAAAACCTGCGAATCGCATGAATGGAAAATTATTTGCAGCAATTCCTCTGAAAATAAAAGCAGAGCAATATCTATTTTAAGAGCAAATATATGAATTTCTTCTGCGATCGATAAAGAATCTTTATGATTCGGGAAAAAAACGCAGTTCTGCATTTATGATCGTATGACCTTTCTCTTAATTCTATTCGTAAGGCGAATAAAATGCGGTTGCCAAAGTTTGCCGATCTATTTCAGAACATTCTGTATATCTATGTCTATGTCAGATAATTGCCGGAAACGTATCCTGTATAATCATCTTTCACGATGGCGACACTTAGTGTCGCCTGCGTAGACTTGTTACAAAAGTTTCGGCGATACTTCTCTTACGAAAACTCTGCATGGAAAAAATTAATTTTCATAATAAAATCTGATTTATCATGAATTATCCCGCTACTTTTCTTTAAGCCACGCACTTCTCGATGATAAACTTTTGCTCGTCAAATATTTGTCAAAGCATTCATCCGATATTTAATTAAATCTTAAAAAAAAATTAATATAAGTTTATATAAAAATCTGAAAGAAAATGAAGGACACCCTGTATATTGATGTACTTTGTACATTATAAAATATAATAAATAAATTGGAAATATAATAAATATATAAAATTATTTCAACGATATGAGGATGATAACAGGAAAAAAGTCTAATTATGAGAAAGGAAGGAACTGTCGCTTAACAAAGATCGCAGAATTTTACCGATTCATCGACTACTCGGCAAAAAAAAGGGTAAAACTAATCTGCGGCGGATAACTTTTTCTACGGCGAACGCAAATCGATTCGCAAAAAAATTATAAGAGACAGAGCCGTCTAATCTAGAGGTTGGTAGCTACTTCGTCGGTCTCGACAACGATTGTTACACTGCGTGAGACCACTACGTGAACAAAAGTGACAAAAACAGACGCGGGACTGCAGAACGGACGCAACTGGCACCAGACTAACATAAAGAAGCGGCACATTTCGTTGCACGCGGCTGCATTATGCACACGTACACATACATAGAAAGACACAGAAAGACAGAAAAAGAGAGAGAGAGAGAAAAGGTAAGGCGTGGTAAATAGAGATGTACGTTTAGCATGTTTTAGCGTATGAGAGAAGGGTATTTAATTTCTAGATTATATACGTAATACGAAATGTATCACTTACATGTTACAGGCAGGTGGAGAGAGAGAGAGAGAGAGAGAGAACGGATGAAAATTATTAGGGACACTGACAAGTCGAAAACTGCACGTTTGAGCAGGTTGTGTGTGAGTGTGTGTAATGTATAACGGATACCAAAAAATGAAAGATGGAGATTCCAACGTCCTCGGCCGGTTTTTAATTACAGATTCGTTGAGAGGAAAGTTAGGATATTTCGGCGATTTCCAACTTCGGTTGTCTTGTTTTTTCTTTTTTTACTTACTCGGAGGCTCTGCCAGCCCTCCGCTTGCGTCGCGTTGATATCTTTGGCCCCCCTGTTGGCTCAGCCCTAAACAATCCATAAAACAAATAGACCCCGTTCACATTGTGTAACACTGTGGCAAGGCTTATTGCTCGAAATTTCGTTCTCTTTTCTCTTATCCTTTTCTAATCGTTTTCCTTTTCTCCGTCTATCGCGGTGGACATTAGCGTAACGGGTTTTCTTTCTCCTCAGTCGCTCCAAGTTCGCAGAAAAAAAAGAGATCGGCAATATCGACGATAACGCGAGTTCAAAAGTGGAGTTTAATCTCGGTTCGCAACACGAATTCCGTGATTCTGCGTGCACGCGTGTTGCTGTGCGAGAAGCCTTACGACAGACAATCGAGAGTCAAATCGTACAAGCAAGTTCGTGGTACATTCCATAACAGATTTTTCGATAAGACATTGCAAACTCAAATCACACAAAACTGTGCCAAGCGGAGAATGTGGAAACGAAAAATCTCCTACGAAGCCGGTGCACAAACGTTGGCCGGAGAAGCGCGGCCGCTGCGAAGATAACGAGACCACGCAGATGCAGATTGTATGCGCTAATAACAAAGTAAAACTCGTGTCGTAACGAGCCTCTCGTTCCTCTATCAACTTCGAAATTACCAGAATGAAACTCACGAGCATCGTAAAAGCTTGCGAGTTGTAAAACGATTGTGCAAAACAAGCGAGTCTCGTTGCGAACTGTAAACGCTAAATAATTCAATAAAAAATCTCGTAAAGTTAATGAGGAAGAGAAGAAGATAGATACGCAAAAAAAAATTTCTTTCGATGCGTATAAACGAGATACATTGTCAAATGCGAGAATCTATAGTAGGATCTGTGGTAATTTTTTTTTTCCAAATACATTTCTGATGAAGATTCTAATCAAATATCAATCGGAATGTACATGTTTCAACAATTTAAAATGATTTTTTTCAATAATAACAATTTTAAGATCGCAATTTTCAATAATTCTCAATTTTGAGTAAGAAATTTTGCAGTATCTCCCAAAATTGACGCCAAATTCCAAACCGATTCCTACCACGACTGATTTTTCGATGCATCCCATAAACATAAACAAGTATGCGCAATGCTGCATTCATACAAGCTGAAAAGGGTTTTGCCACGCTATCGTGTGTAATCGGTGCGATTTTGTCGACATTACGAATTACACCGAATTATATATCGCGAATTTTGAGCCATTATTCGCGCCCAGCGTCTTGTATTTCGACACGCTGCGAATATGATAGAAATTCGAGTAAAACTATTCGGAAACTATTCGCAAGCGCAACGACACCGGTAATTCAATATTACTCGGATAAATCAGGTTGTGAAATTGTACCATTTAGAAACGAGATAACAGAATAAAACCTGACTCATACGCTCTGTCTAGTGTGTACTCTACTGCACGTTCTCGTCTAACACGCTTGCATTCTATCGCAAGTGTTTTAAGATTACGACCGCGCGACATACATAATAATGAATCCGCAGAAACGAACAATACACGAGCTGTTTTTCCGCAAATTTGCCAAACGAGCTACGGATAAAAGGGGAACAAATCACTTAAGCCAAGTTTTATTTTCTCAATGCTTTTAGCGGAGCAGCTTCGACTGTTCTAACAAAGATCTAATTGACAAATAATAGCCGTGCCGAAGTCCATAATTAGATCAACAATCTCCACAATTATCTCTACCGCATGGTACTATCCGTCATCGTTCAGACATTTGGCAACGTGTATGCGGATCCTACACGCGGATAATACCTTGTATACACGTGACAGCTGTTGCCAGGCTATTTCTGGCGAGGAGCGATCAAAAAGAATGCTGTCACCGTGCACATAACCTAATCGTGACGCGCGACAAAGGACAACTCCATATTGCAAATCCTAACGTATCTCTTAAATCTTTTTTTCTCCGTCACGTCGAACTGACACCGGGCTGTCGTTACGAGAAAACAGCGTCAGCGAGGAGTCCTCGGAGTCCGTGGCATGCGATCTCGACGCGACGGTATCGAGATCGATTGCACGGGCGCGTTATCGCCACGACGAGCGCTCCGACGTGGAGGAACGCGACAAAGATAGAGACGCGTCATCGACGACGAATAATCTTTCGGAACGACGGTAGATCCGGATGACACGTAGGAAACTACCTGTAGTACGACAGGAGGCCGTTTGACAGGACGAACCATCTCCGTTGATAACCTTTCAGGTAGTTCGTCCATTTGAAAAGCCAGCCTTTCATCTCCTGCGCGCCGTGCTGGCTCTTCGGGTCGCCCATGCTGTCGGCTTCGCGTAACGACGCTCGCGTTCCTCGCGCCTCCCTGAAACGATCGCAGTGCGAGCCGATATCCGCCTACCACACATCACCCGCGTTATGCGTAGCCACCATTTTGGCAATCCAGGGAAAAGGGAAAGGCGGGGGGAAGAGCGCCGACGAGCGAATTCACGTTGCACGAACTGCCGTCGTCGCGCACAGGCGCGCGCCCTGTCACGCTGCGACGGAAATCGGAGTCGAATGCACGGCCGGCAATGCACCGGGCGGTAATCGCGCACCGGATTCGTGATCTCTCAACGACGGCAAAAATCCCGCCGATCAGGCACCTTCACTTCCGCTGCACCTTGCGCGCCACGCGACCCGCTCGCCGACGACTCGTGTAACCTTCGCTGCCGCCGTCGCTGATGCAACCGATTCACGCATACCGAGCACACGCACGCACACGAAGTCAATCGCGGGCGAACTGGCACGAGCTGACATCACAGATTTCGTGGATCTTTGACTATAAAAGACTGCGCGACGAATGTAGTTTGGCGCTGCGAGCGCTACGGTGATTGGAGGAAGTTCATGCCTGTTTTTGCTCGATAAAAATCATATTTGCTTGCTCAGCTGTAAGTAAAATAGGAATCGCGTTATCCTACCGGGTTATTTGATCTTATTAGGTGTTGCATCAAATAGTCGCTAGAAGTCACTGCAATCGCTGAAATGGTGCACTCTGGCGTTACAAGCGATGCATTAGATTCAAATTGTACGCACGAAGCTATCGCGACCGTTACAAGTTGAGGGACGAGTTGTGTGGAGACATTTGGAGATGTAAACTTAAGAGTTAAAGAGCATCGCTATCATGAATAACTCGTGCGAATGTAAGTATCTTACGTAGGAGCGATCGTTCATTCAGCATCGACGTCACCGATTATATTTATTTGAGAAACGACGATAAAGTGAGGACTCAAGACAGTCATTTCTACATGCTACTGGTTTACGTATTTCTTGACAAAAATGAATACAAACGTCAAAAAAAGGGACAAGTTGACGCAAGAGTTGGTGGCTGTGAGGTCGGATTTGGCTGACTTTCGAAGAAGTTTAGGTTGGTTTATTCTCAAATAAAGCTAGTAAAAGTATTTATGACTTTTGTATTTTTCTACATAATAAAATTTTGGCACTTAACAGAAGCAGCAGAAACCGAAACTCTCTCAAAGCCAAAACCAAAACAGTCTCCATACTTTGAATATAAGTTTCCTAAGCATTTGCAGTCAGACAAGTTCTCCAAGGAGAAGATGGAACTGGAAACAAAGTTGGATGAGAAGAAGAAAGATGTCCAAGAGAAGCAGAAGAAGATACTCGAACTACAGCACAAAGTTCGAGAGTTCTCTAAAGTGCAGTCTCAGTTGGAAGAAAAAACACGGAAATTGGAGATATCCAACAAGGAGAGGGACATCCTCGAGAAAGAATTGATAACTACAAAATCAGAATTGTCAAGTATCAAAAATACATTAGGTAACTTGGAAATAATAATCATAACTAAGTTGGAATAAATTTATCAAATAAATACTTGTGGAAATAAGCTTATACATGGTCCACATTTATTTTAATTGGTATAAAGCATGTTTATTATTTAATAAGAACTTAACATAATCCCATGATTTAGAATTAGAACGGCAGGAGAGGAGAGATTTCGAAACTCGTGCACTTAACTTGATAAGAGATGCTAAACGCAAATGGGAGAATGCAGAAAAAGACAAAATAGCACAACTGAATAAGCACATTGAATCACAAACCACAAAAATTACAGAATTATGTACAAGTAATAATGAAATGAGCTCGCGTCTTGAGAGAACGCAATGTGAACTGCAAACTGCAAATGCAGAATTGGAAAAGCTGCGTGTGTTTCAAGTGAGTATTAATGTAATAACGTCAATTAATATAAGTATATAATTACTAATTTAAATTTAACAAACATCAATAAATGTAATGAATTGAGACGGTCATTAATGTTTTAATCATCTGTTTAGACGCAATATAAGGAATCCTTGGTGAAGACACGTGAGTTAAGTAGACAAAGTGTTCAAGGCATTGAAGTTAAGTTGGAGGAGATAGCTGCACGCAGTCATAATCAGCTGGCCGATTTAAGAGCAAAATTGGACTTTGAGGCGGCGAAGAATACAGATCTTGAAACTAAATTACGAAACGAGCAAGATTCGAACCACTGTCGCGAGTCGAGACTAAATATTGCATTGGAATTTGCTCAGAATGAATTAAAAGATTGTCAGGAGCAATTACGTAATATACAAGCCTCATTACCGGCCAGGGATACTGAGATTGAAACTTTACGTAAACAGTTGCAAGAGAGAGCAAGACAGATAGATGATTTGAAAACATCCGAACAATTGCTCACAACTATGCAAGAGCAATTGGACAGAATGAATCTTGAAAACGAACAATTGAAGCAGCAATTGCAAGTGAGTATCTAAATAATTTACGAAAGATTGGTATAAGAAAATTCTGTTCAACTCAAATAATTTCTTTTAAGGTGACTAAATCTGATCTGAACGAAACCATGATAAATTTGGAGCAAAGTGAAGCGCTTGCTTTAAATTTGGAACAAGCGGCACAGGACAAGGCTGTGTTACAAAAGAGATTGCAACGTTCTTTGGAAAAAGAAGGTAAAAACAAAGCGAATTGCAAAGGTAAATTCTTTTTCGGTTATTTAATTATTGTTTAATTGCAGAGGAACAATTGCGCAAAGTTTGCAATTTAGAGGAATTATTGAAGCGTTTGGAACACAGTGTTACGAAATTGGAAGTAGAAAATGCTAGTCTTAAACAATTGGATGATGTGCAAACTACATCTCGTTTAGTCACAAAAGACTCAAGTTCAAAAGTCTTTCATCGAAAAGAGGAAGTGGAGAAACTGGAGCAGCAACTTCAAAGTTTAAAGGAAGACATAACGGTCAAAAAAGAAACAGCGAGACAAGCTCAGAGGGCTTTACGGGAAAAGGAGAGAGAGTTATCGAAAGCTAGTTTAGATGCACGTATAGCTGTGAGACAAGCGAATAGAGGTGAGGAGAAAATCAAAGCGCTGCAGGAAGAGAAGGAAAAATTACAGGAGAGATTAAGCAATAAAACAAGGGAGGAGCAGGAGAATTCGAAGAAACTGTTGAAAGAATTGGACATTGCGAAAGCGTCATTGAATGATATCACAAAAGAGGCATCCAGGAATAAAATGCAGGCTGATTCGGCTCAAAGGGTAAAGATTGTTATATTTTTATCATTTTTATCATTTTTATCAGAAATCTTAAAAAAACTTCTATACTTTATTCTACAAAAGCTAGCTGTATTTTATATTTTATACGTTATATTATTCTAGGCCCTGACCCAAGCTAATCATCAGATCGAGGAACTTCAATCTTCCAGTGCATCCTTACGTAGAGAACTGGATGCGGCTCGCAAGCAAATGCGCTCGGCTGAGGAGCGTGTCGACACTTTGAATGCCGAGAACAGACGTTTGATACTAATATCCCGCAGACACAACGAGGAGAAGACTGAACTCGAGTCCAAAATCGCGAAGCTGGAGCAGGATATTAAATGCCACGAATTGAACATCAAATTGTGCAAGGAAACTTGCACGGTGTTGGAGGAACAATTGATGGATTATGACAAGTTAACGAGTGGTCACGATACGCGCGAGAATATGCTGATTCAAGACAAAATGAAGCTGCAAAAGGACTTGGAAGCCGCCGAGACGGAAGTGCGGAACGCACGTATGGCGCAGAGCGACGAGAAGAGGCTGAAGACAGTCGCCGAGCGCAACGTCGAGCACTTGAAGTCGGAGATGAGCGACATAAGGAGCGAGAGGGACAGCCTGATCGCACAAAGGGACCAGTACATGAGACTCGTTCAAGAGCTCAACGCGCAAGTGGAGGAACTGACCACGAGGCGCGATGAGATGGAGTGCGAACTTACGAAAATGGGACGCACCTTGGACACCGTCGAGACGAAGCTGCGAGTCGTGTTGGAGGAGAACAGCCAGAACTTAACGCGGGCGCACGAATTGGAGGACGCGAACGTCGAGCTTATGAACGGCATGCAGAAGAGCATAGAGCAGGGCCAGGAGCTGAGATTGAGAATAACGGAGCTGGAAGGCGTATTGGAGGAGATGAGACAGTTCTACCAGGAGAGAGAAGTGAAGGCCGAGGGCACGCGGCAGCAGCAGACCAAGCTGATCGATTACTTACAATTGAAACTGGAGGAGTGCAGCAAGAAGAAGAAGACCATGTGCGACAAGATACTCGGCACGAAGCAGAAAGAGAACGTGCCGCCCATGGGCATCGGCATGCCCGTAGGCTACCGCGAACTGGAGAACCAGCTTGCCAACGAGCGGGAGAAGGTGAAGAGGCTGACGGAGCAGCTGCTGATTCTGAAAGCGAGGATCACCTCCGCGTCCGCGCCTACGTCCCCCACCACGCCGGAGCGCGACGGCAGGAGGATAAAGGGTATTACGGAGACCAGCAGCTCCTTACTCAGACAGTTATCTCCGCAAAGGATGGGAGCCGACGTACGGCACAGATTTGCCACCGGATTGCCCATGCGGGCCGGAAGGTGCGCAACGTGCTCGGAGGCCATACAGTTTGGAAGATACGCCGCGACCTGCAGCAAGTGTCAGATCATGACGCATTTGGACTGCACAATGTCCGTGCCTGTCAATTGCGACTTTTCCAATGACTTCTCTAAGTTTTATCATAGAGACAGCGACGACAGCTTGTCGTCGATCGGCGACAGCGTCCAGACATTGGCGATAGATCAACCGGACAACGCGGTGGTGAAAACAGATTCGGTAAGATTCCGTTCATTTATTCGAAGCATGTTTGTTCGCAATAAGAAGCGTTTATAGCGGTTTTTTCTTCCAATTTTTTAATGAAAGTTGAAGGATGCAATTCATATTGAATGAATTAAATTGCAAATAGCTTTTTTATGTTTGCAAAATTTTAAATTCAAATTAAACTGCGACTTTTTTAGTGTTGGCGCATTGTATTTCGAAAAATCTCACGATTTTTATGACAAATGATGTGTTATGTGCGCACAGGATCCACAGAGCGTTCAACGTAACGAGAATGAAGTTTCCATGGAGGGATGGGTTAAAGTTCCCGGTAAATCAAGGTCTTGCTGGGAGAGAAAATACATGAAACTGGAAGGATCGTGCTTGTGCGTCTTCGAGCATCAGCCGTGTGCCGGAATGGCGCCGATCAGCCGTTTAAATCTATTGGAGAACAGTGGATTTAACATTTGCGAGAATGTGCAGCAAACTGATATACTGGGAACGGACAAGTCCGACATACCGCTCATCTTTAGGATAGAATCAAATTCCACGACGACCTGTTGGCCTTCGTCTAGACTGGATGTCGTAGCTTTGAATAAAACCGATAAGAGAAACTGGTTGAAAGCTTTAAGGGCTGTTACCGGTCAAAATTCGTATACCGTGCCGAAATACAAGAAGTATCACACCATACTTAGATTAGACAAACATCAGGTGAGTGACGCAATGATTAACGAGTCTATTACATCTTACAAAGCCTGTAAGCAAAGCAGAAAAGCACGAAACTCTTACAAAGTAAAAAAAAATCAATGATTGCTTCTTCTTCGATAACTGTTTTATGTGAAAATAAATGTTTCTTTATAATTGCATTAAACCAATTTGTTTTCAGTTGGATTTAAATTGCGTTGCCGATCTGGGCACGGATAACGTGCTCTTGCTGGGCGCGAAAGAGGGCCTGTTTTCGTATTGCACTTCGAAATCTCGAACGCTCACCACGATACGCGGTGTCAAGCAAGTGCACCAGCTCTCTTTACACTCGCACTTGGACTTGGCTTTAATGATCGCCGGTGAATACAGAGAATTAGTGTACTGCAACTTGAGGCTACTCAAGACTAACGCGTTAGCCGCCGACTGTTCCAAGCCAGCGATCAGTACGAAATGTGTGTTATCCACCTCGGACAGTTGTCATCTTTATCAATTGCAAGGCGAAATATTATGCGTCGCAACAGCATCCCATGTGATGTACGTAGCTCTTAATATATATATAAAGCCTCTTACGAACGCAACGATGCAATTTTAGAAATATTGTTTTGTTTATACAGATTACTTAAATGGAATATTGTTTTGTTTATACAGATTACTTAAATGGAAAATCAGAGAGAATTCCGCGGAATTCGTCGAGCTTTGTGAGCTCGAGACGTCGGAGCCTTGCAGTTGTGCAATTTTCACGTCGAATCTCCTTATCATAGGATGTCACAAATTCTTCCAAATTGATTTGCAAACGTTAGTTTCCAAGTCGACGTGCAGCGTAGATGGTGAGCAACTAAAATACATCATATATCATATTTTTGTCTTTTTATTATATTATTTCACTCGAAACTTTTGAATAGTAATCATATAATAATTATTATAATACTTGAATAAAAAGAACCGCATTTCCGGGTGTTAAATAATACATTGTGTTTGCTGATGCAATCAACAGAATTTCCAGAAGAAGACAATAGCTCGATTAAAGCAGCATTATCGGGCGCCGCAAAACTCGGCATATTTCCTGTTTCCGTTTTGAATATTTCCAATACATGCGGCACGGCAGAACTTCTACTGTGTTACAACGAATTCGGCGTATTTGTCGACGAAAATGGTAGAAGAACTCGAGCCGTGGATCCAATGTGGAATCATTTGCCATTTGCTTTCGGTATGCATATCGCTTTTCTTAATCACACGCGATGCATTGATAAAATGATCGCATTGACAAATCATTTTGTTTCAGCATTCTGCAAACCATATTTATTCATCATTCACTTCTCGTCTGTCGAGATTGTAAAGCTCGACTCGGAGGCGTACAAATTGCCGGATAGGAATCCCGAACGTACCTTAATCGAATTATCTAGTCCACGCTATCTCGGTACAGCTGGCTCAAAAGGAATTTATGTGGCGGCTATAAATTCTTACTTTGAATTGCTGAAAATAGATGTTGCGTCCGATATGCCAGCATTAAGTGGCAGTTTAACAAGTTTAGACACACTGTACGTCGTCTTTTTCGTCAGTCGATTAAAATGATCTGCATAAATAAACCGAAACGTTCCGCTGAAGCAGATTGCTAATTACATTTGTCTTTGCAGAGCTCAAGAGGATGAGAGTAGTTCAGAATTTAGTTTCACATCGAGCTTAATGGAGGCTTTAGACGGGCAAGGAAAAAAAGTACACTTCACCGGGTTGCATAAATATTGAAATAGGTCGCATGGGTCGTCACACTTAATTTAGTTTTGACGTTATTCTTTGCTTACTAGAGGCTCACTCAGAAGCTACTTTGGTATGTATAAAAATATTAATAAATAGCAATCATATTAACGAGGATACTTCTACTGTGTCGAACAAATAGATTTAGTGTAGTGTAATATTTAATTTATATAATTAGTTATATTACGCTTCTTTGATAGAATTTCGATTTTTTTGAAATTTGGATGTCATAAGATCTCTAATATTTGCCATACTATTAACCTTCTGACTGTGAATTTTTTTCCGTATATTTAACTGCGTTTATTAACCGATTTACTAATAAATAATAAATTAATTAATTTAGTTTCTACATTTATACAATAAATACATTTAACACGCTTATTAAATGTATTTATTTATTTATTTTTATTCACAAATGTGTTCAAAGCGTTTGTAGCTTGGGATTTGAAAGAAATTATAAAAATGCATTGCTTACATTTTGACAAGATTTGTCGCGACTGTTTTTTATGCGTCGTGAACGCTCAGAAGGTTAAGGATCAGCGATTTTTATTAGTGAACCAAATTTCAAAACGTATTTATAAACATTAAAAGCTTTACGTTTGTATACTCTAATATAGTTTCTTCAAGTACAATCACAAGTGTATAGAGGTAATTATTACCTATGAACGAGAGTAAGGGTACTTAAATGATATTATGTAAATTTTAATATTAAGAATATAGCGACCAATGTTAGAATAATATATATACTTTATATATTAAGAAATTTTCTAAATGTATTTTTTATAATTTAGCTTAAAACACAACATGAGGACAATAAAGATATACCAATATGTATCTCAATGATGTGTTACGAGGTGTATTTTCAAATTAGAAATCGATATTAATGTATGTATCTTCGAGAAAATATTGCTAGAACAAACTGCATATAAAGGACTTATAACTTGCCCAACATAACGCGATATAAATTACAAACTACGTCTTTCACAAAAAATATACATTATGTATATATTATTCGGTATCCGGTAACCCTTGACTTTTGCGTCAATATAAAACGTAACGAATATTCATTATGTCTGCACATTGCATAAGAAAAAAAGTTCGTAAAAGAAATCTCTATACGATTTCTATTGTTCACTTGAGGAAGACAAAAACTAGACACATTGGATGCTTACTAATATTCCTGATCTCCGGCATCAGAAATAATCAATTTTATAAAAACACAAAAATATAAAAGTATAAAAAGATATGTATAAAATATAATTAAACCTATTAAAAGAATGGAAAAAAGTTACTCACATATTTAAAATGTTAAAGAAAGCAAATGATGAAACGTATATATACATACAATTCTTAATACATTATTTACACATTTTATGTTATACGCAATATATTTTTAAGAACATAAATTCATTAAGCTTAAAAATTTAAATACGTGATTGCGATTGTTTGCGATTGCGATTAATACGCCATATAATCTGTAGTACTTGAAATAATGAAAAACTACATCGACATGCGCGCCTTGATACATTTCACAATGCAAATGTACACAGGAAGTTCAAAGTAGCTAATTCATTTTATATTATAAAGAGAAGGGATGTCATTCTTTATAAAAGGATTTCGTTCGCCTCGTTCCTCAGTTGTACTTCGTAATAGCGCGCTGGTTAAAATTTCCGTGCCAAACGAAATTACTTTCTATGTGCTGCAATCGAACAGGATTAATAAAAATCGTTCGTCCCAATTGTAATAATACTAATTGAAATAATACTTCAACGATACGTATATAAGTTTTCACCGAATTAAGAAGCAATCTTCAGAGAGCAATGCCTGCGATCAAAAGAAGCAATAGACTGTACAACGAGCCTAAGCCTGGGGAGGAAATCGTTATCTCCGGTATTGCCGGTAGATTTCCAGAATCTGATAATGTGGAAGTGCTGAAGAAGAATTTATTCGATAAACTCGATCTGGTCACAGGCGATGATCGCCGTTGGAAATTGGGTAATTAATAACTCTAAGTGCCAGTTATCTTTAGAACAGATGCGATTATTTCGGAAATTATGAAAATGATTAAGAGTTACTTTATTACTTTATTATTAAAATGATAGAATAACTAAGAATTATTATGCTATTGTGCGAAGATTTATTATACGTGTTTTATTTTTATTTTAACGCCGGCAGATCATCCGGAAATTCCTCAGCGAACTGGAAAAATTAATGCTGTCGGTAAATTTGACGCGCTCTTCTTCGGTGTCCACTTCAAACAGGCCCACACCATGGATCCGATGTGCAGAATGTTATTAGAACACGCTTATGAAGCTGTCATTGACGCGGGAATAAATCCTAAACAACTACGCGGATCGCGTACGGGCGTCTTCATGGGCGCGTGTTTTTCGGAATCTGAAAAAACTTGGTTCTATGAAAAGCTACAGGTGAATCTTCGCTACGTATAGTATTATAAAAAAATGACAGTATCATAAAATCATACCAAAAAAATGGACGAATCATAAAAAATTTATTTTTCTTGATCCAAAATTAATGTAAATTGAAAATAAATTGTTTTCTATTGTTAATTATTTTATATAATTAGGTTAACGGTTTCGGAATTACTGGATGCAGCAGAGCTATGTTGGCAAATAGAATTTCCTACTGGCTGGGAGCGGTCGGACCATCTTACACTCTGGATTCCGCTTGCAGCTCTGGTCTACTCGCTTTTGGAACATGCTTTTCGGGCAATGCAAGATGGTCAGTGCGACTCCGCTATCGTCGGTGGAGCGAACCTGTGTCTTCATCCCTACGTATCGCTGCAATTCTCTCGTCTAGGTACTATTTCTTCATTATTGTCTAATTTTCAAATGTATAATTCTATTTTTGCACGAGTCGCTGTAAAGATTTATCGCGAAGATTAAAATTTTCACTAAGAAGAACACAGTTTGTGTAAATTAAGACTCGTCAAAAAATGCATTTTTACACAAAAAAAAAAAGATTAGAAAGAAATATTGCAACTTTTACTGACTTTTTCCAAAATATTATTTTGTACAATATTTTTCTTTCCGCGAGTAAAATTGTGCGAGATTCTGGAATGACTTTCAGATGAATCAACGAATTGAAAAGAAACATTTGCACTTTGCAATATCTTTTAACAATAATGTTTGGCAGGGGTCCTGTCGTCCGATGGTCGCAGTAAGTCCTTCGACGCCGATGCGGACGGCTACGCCCGCAGCGAGGCGATCTCCGTCATGTATCTGCAAAAGGCGAAACACGCGAAACGAATCTACGCGAGAGTCGTCTATGCCAAGTCGAATTGCGACGGTTATAAGGAACAGGGCATCACGTTCCCATCGACCTTGATGCAGGGTGAGCTGCTGCGGCAGTGCTACGAGGATTGCGGCGTGTCGCTGAACAGCTTGTCGTACCTGGAGTGCCACGGCACCGGCACCAAAGCCGGCGATCCCGAGGAGATCAACGCGATCGACAGGGTCATCTGTAACAAGAGAACCGAACCTCTGCTGATCGGCTCTGTTAAGTCCAATATGGGCCATACCGAACCCGTTAGCGGTCTTTGTCAAATTACCAAGGTAATAAGATAAAAGTCGAATTTAATTGTCCTGTATTGTCTCTGTTTAAAAATAACTAAGAGCAAAAAGAGAGAATTGCGGTAGTTTTAAAAAATTATTTATTACTGAGATGAAAAGTTTTAGTTAGTAATTTCGAAAATATATAATAAATTGCATGTTGTATAGCAATAAATTCGACAATTTCCAGGTGATAATAGCAATGGAATGTGATAAAATTCCGCCTAATCTGCATTACAACCGGCCACGGAAAGGCGTGAAAGCTCTCGAAGAAGGCAGACTGAAAGTCGTCACCGAGCCGACACCTTGCAAAATAGAATACGCGGGCGTTAATTCGTTTGGTTTTGGAGGTGCCAATTCCCATGTCTTACTGAAATCCAATCCAAAGAAAAAGATCAACAATGGAGCTCCGTCTGACGATCTACCGAGACTCGTAGTGGTGTCTGGACGTAATGAGAATGCTGTCCAAGTGTTCCTAAATGATGTAAGTAAAAGATCATAAGACAATGAGATGTTGAGAAAGCTCTAAAATTAAATTTATGTAGAAAATAATATAAAATATAGAAAACGAGAAAGAATTTACAATAGGCATTCTGTGAAAGATCAGAAAAAAATCATCAAGTATTTATCGCGATTAAGATCAGAAGTTAATTGTGCAAATTTAAATTTATTTTTGTAGATCGAAAAGCATCCAGTGGACACGGAGTATGTTCGTCTATTGCATGACATTCACACTGAGGATATCCAAGGACATCTGTATCGCGGATACACGATAGTCGGCTCGAAGATTTCGGAGCAGCCGATCAGGGAAATAGAAAATTACTTGGGAGCAACGAGACCGATCTGGTTCGTATTTTCGGGAATGGGATCGCAGTGGCCTGGCATGGGTACGCATTTCTCTATTAATTTCAGCCTCAACAGTATGATTATGTTTCATTCGAAAAGTTTTTACCAATTCAAGTTTTATATCAAAAACAGGCACTCAACTGATGAGATTCCCCGTCTTCGCTAAAGCCATCGAGAAATGTGATGCCGTTTTACGACCGCGCGGCATAGATATTATCAACATTCTGACGAACACGGACAAATCTATCTTTGATAATATTTTGCACTCGTTTGTGGGTATCGCGGCAGTGCAGGTAAGTCGCATACGATTATTAAAAAGGTTAACGCTGCTTATTCTTCTTCATCGTGCAGCACGGATTTTGTGCAATATGCATTTTGTAGATCGGTCTAGTTGATCTCCTCACGTCAGTGGGCATCGTACCGGACAACATCATCGGTCATTCTGTCGGGGAACTCGGCTGCGCTTACGCGGACGGGTGCTTCACCGCCGAGCAGATGATCCTGTCGGCGTACTCGAGAGGTTTAGCGTCCATCGAAACTGAAGTGATTTTTGGTTCGATGGCGGCCGTCGGTCTCGGCTACGAGGACGTTAAAAATCTGTGTCCCCCGGACATCGAAGTGGCTTGCCACAATTCTTCGGACAGCAGCACTATTAGTGGACCCGCCGAGTCCATGAAGAACTTTGTTGCCGAACTGCAGGTTTGTTTACTTGAAAAAGGCAGATTTCCAGTCTGCGGAGAAACATTCCATGCAAACATTTAAACGCAAGATTTCATCAAGTGTAGTCGTAGTTAAAACTTTCACGAATTTTTATTACAAATCTTACCACGATTCTCATTGCCAGTTTACGACCACTCGTTAAGTCTGTTGAAATTGCTTCCCTCAAGAATCTGCTTTAATACAGTTTATATGTCTGAGCAGGCTAAGAAGATCTTCGCGAAGGAAGTGGCGTGCAGCAACATACCTTACCACAGCCGTTACATTGCGCCCGCCGGACCGAAACTCCTGGCTTACCTGAACGAGGTGATACTTGAGCCGAAGCCGCGCAGTTCGAAATGGCTTAGTTCATCTGTGCCACGCAACAAGTGGTCCACTGCGGCCGCCAAGCTGTCATCCGCCGAGTATCACACCAACAATCTCCTGAATCCTGTGCTGTTCGAGGAAACGGCGCGCATGATCCCAAAAAATGCAATCACCATCGAAATCGCGCCTCACGGCCTCCTGCAAGCTATCCTGAGACGGTCCCTCGGCTCGGAAGTCACCAACATCGCGCTCACGCAACGCGGCCACAAAGACAACGTCGACGTCGTTCTGCAAGCAATTGGAAAGCTCTACCTCGTTGGACTGCAACCGGATATTGCGAGTCTCTTTCCGCCTGTCGAGTTCCCGGTTAGCTGTGGTACTCCGATGATCTCTCCTTCCGTTAGGTAGGATGTTATCCTTCTTTCATTATAGAACAATGCTGCATCCGGCCATTTGAAATAAATCGATATAGATGAAGTTTTCGTTTAATAAAATTGCAACAACATGTGAATTATTGTTGATCGATACACTAAAATTCATCTAACACTCAATCATGAGTTACGAAATTATTGTTTTGTTGAACTAACCTTCTAGGTGGGAACATTCCGACGACTGGTACGTAACAACGTACAAGACCCAAAAGAAGATCAATTCCGGGGAGAGAATTCTCAATATTTCGCTGCAAGATGAAACCTATGAGTATATGGCCGGTCATGTGATTGATGGGGAGAACTTGATACCTGCTATGGGGTATCTCGTTCTAATTTGGGAAATCATGGGTTCGCTGCGGAATGAAACATTCACAGAAATGTCGGTTGTTTTCGAAGATGTCTTCTTCACGCGTGCTACTCGTATTCCGAAAGAAGGCACTGTCCAGTTAACGGCGATGGTTCAGAAAGGTAATTTCTATTTGCGTCTAGCGATATGAAATTCTATGAATCGTCGACGCTAGATGTACTGAAGCAGTCTTAAAATTGACATATGTGACCCATCTATTATATTTCATAAATTATGTGCAATACAAAATCGGTAGTGTCAAATATAATTCCATTTATTTACGACATCAAGAAATATTGCTAACAATGTTTAGTTATTGAATAATGATTGAAATCGATGCTCAACGGTATACTTTGTACATTCAATTACACCTTTTTGCAATTGTACTATTGATGCACACAAATTTGAAGATAAATATTGAATTTCGAGATAAATATATAAATTTTCTAACGAGTTTATTAATCTCAAAATATATGTATTCAATAAATACGCATGTAACATTTTATTTGCATAAGAATATTCATAATGATTTCTGTGAATATTATAGATTTATATTATATATTTTTAAAATTACAATTATATTTTAACAATGATAATTGTGTATTCACAGGCACTGGGAGATTTGAAATATCAGAAGACGACACCGAGGTTGTAAGCGGGTATATTCACGTTGCGTCGAACGTCGCGCAGGAGAAGGTGCTGGCTACGATGTTGCCGGAGGACGACGACGAGGAGGAAATGATGGTCACTAAAGACATCTATAAGGAACTAAGACTACGCGGCTATCAATATGCGGGAGCTTTCCGCTCCTTGAAAAGCGCATCGATGTCAGGAAAGAAAGGACACATCGCTTGGATGAATAATTGGGCGACGTACATGGACGGCATGCTGCAGCTCATGATTTTGGGACAAGACACGCGAGATCTGTACATGCCGGCGAAAATACAGAAGATCGTGATCGATACCAAGCATCACCAACAAGAAGTCAAAAACTTAAGCTCGGAAGACAGACGTAAGTTCATACACTTTCTCTTGTTCGCTTTGTAATCTCACTATTATTACCCAACTCTCTCGTTAGATTGAGTATAAAGTAGTCGCTGCTCGTTGCAGAATTGCCCGTACATATGTACAAAGATTGGGACATCATAATATCGGGTGGGGTCGAGATTCGTAGCGCCAAGACGACTTCCGTGCCGCGTCGGCTGCCAGCCAGCGAGCCGGTCGTCGAAGAGTACAAGTTCGTGGCGCATCGCGACGGGGCGCAAGTCTCCCTGCAGGAGGCCGTGAGACTGTCCACGCATATCACGCTTGAGCATCATCAGACCGTTCACGTGAAGATCATCGAAGCGATCGACAGCGTTGACAAGTTGGCGGCGAATCAATTAGCGTCGCCCATTCTCGCCGAGATTCTGGGCGACTTGCCCTTGATTCAGGCGGACGTGATTCTGGCAGCACCGTCCGATCAATCCGATAGCGACGAGTTACCCCCGAACGTGAACTCCGTGGACATCAGCAAGCTATCCAAAGACGAGAACGCTCTGCTCGCTATTGGCGTCGGGCTCTTAACGAGAGCCAAGAGCGACCAGTTGCAGCAGATTCTGCCGGCGCTGAAAAAAGGCGGCTTCGTGCTGACGCGGGAGAGATCGCTCAAACCGGAAAATCTCTCGGCGCTCTCTAAACATCAGCTGGACGTGATTCTCGAGAAGAACACCGGCAAAGAGAGTATCATACTCTTGAAGAAGAAAGAGACGCAGACTAGAAAGACGGAAGTCGTTCATATTAACAACAATGAGTTCAGCTGGCTCGAGAAACTGAACGCGATTATGAACAGCGACAACACCGATAATGTGAGAATAATACTCGTCAGCGCCGGGAACTTCGAGTCTGGCTTACTGGGCCTCGTCAACTGTCTGAGAAAAGAGCCGGGTGGAGAAATGATCAGGGGAGTATTGATACAGGACGCCGACGCGCCTGAGTTCTCTCTGAAGAACCCTTTGTACTCGGAACAGCTTCAGCTTGATTTGCCTATCAATGTGTTGCGGCCGGGAAAAATATGGGGATCCTACAGACATCACCAGCTGGAATTGAGCCTGAAACCAAAGCTCGTTCATCATGGATTCGTTGACCAAACGGTATGTAGAAAACGTAAGGTAATTTTAATTTTCTGGATGATGTTCATTTACGGTTATTAATTTTATGTCAAATTTTATTTTTTTTTAAATGCTTAAATAAATATTTTCCACACACAAATATCTATGTGAAAATGAAAAATTCTTTTCCACGCATAGGTTCGCGGTGATTTAAGCTCACTTCATTGGATCGAGGGTGCCATACGCCCTGAGTCCGACAAAACGAATCACGTCCATGTAGTGTACGCTAGCATCAACCTCAGAGATGTCATGTTTGCTACGGGAAAACTCAATCTCGATATAAACACATCGCACAGTCGATTCAATGACTATTCGATCGGTTTGGAGTATGCTGGCATCGATTCTGCCGGCCGTCGTGTGATGGGACTTTGCGAAAACGGGTAACGTTTTTGTCAAATGCACTCATTGCATATCTTCAGAATTACACAATCCAATTATACTCGTTTAAAAAGAGAAATGGCATAAAATAGATTATACGATATAAGATAAAAGCACTAAAGTTTTGGCACATTTCTTCAAGTTCACAAACATATCTACGATTGTCAGAAATCTCGCAGAAATCTTTGATGTTTTGTATGCTGCATAAATTTTAATCATTATTTTTTTATACCAATAATCATACATTTGTGTCACTATATTTTTTCCTAAAAAAAAAGTCCCTGGATGAACACTTTAAAAGCAACAATCTTCGCACTTTCAGAGCTATGGCAAACATTATAGATGCCGACAGAAACTTATCCTGGAACATACCTGATAATTGGTCGCTGGAGGACGCGGCGACCGTGCCATGCGTGTACGCGACATGCTACTATGCGCTGTACATTTACGGCAACTTGCAGAAGGGCGAAAAGGTGCTCATTCATTGCGGCACGAGCGGCGTCGGCCAAGCGGCAATTAACATCGCTCTTCATGAAGGCTGCGAGGTGTTCACCACCGTGGGGACGCCCGAGAAGCGCAAGTTTATCCGCGAGAACTTCCCGTCGATCCCGGACGACCACATCGGTAACTCGCGCGAAACCAACTTCGAGCAGATGGTGCTTCAGCGGACGAATGGCGCCGGAGTGGACATTGTTCTCAATTCCTTGACCGATGAGAAGCTTCAGGCGTCGGTCCGCTGTCTCGCGATGTGTGGTCGTTTCCTTGAAATCGGCAAGTTCGATGCACTGGCGAACACATCTCTGGGGATGATGATCTTCATGAAGGAAATCAGTATTCATGGAGTTCTGCTGGATAATATATTTAATAGCACCACAGAAGAGAAGATGCAGCTGAACAAGTTGCTGGCCGATGGCATCAAAAGCAATACTGTCAAGCCAATCGGTAGAACAGTCTTCGAAAAGGACGAGTTAGAGGCAGCCTTCAGATACATGGCGGCCGGAAAGCACATGGGCAAGGTAAATTTTTTACAATTCTGTCTCAACAAGCATCGACTGCGGTTAAAATGTTGGAATAAAAGATTGTATTTTTGATTCGCCAGAAATTCACTGAAAACTAACAAATTTCTCGATCTTGCGGCTTTCACAGGTAATCTTGAAGGTTTGCGACGAGAAGAAGATCAAGAAGCAACCTGTACCTATTATGGCCAAGCCGCGATATTACTGCGACAGCCAGAAGAGCTATCTCATCTTAGGCGGATTAGGCGGTTTCGGATTGGAGTTGGCCGACTGGCTGATACTTCGGGGCGCCAGAAACCTGGTGTTGACGTCGAGAACGGGAGTGAAGACCGGTTACCAGCGCAAGAGAGTCGATCTGTGGAAGTCGTACGGTGTGAACGTGCTGATCATCACGGGCGCCGACGCGTCGAATCGCAAGGACTGCGAGTTTATCCTGAAATCTGCGGAGAAGCAGGGCCCGGTGGACGCCATCTTCAATCTCGCCGTGGTGCTAAAGGACAGCATTTGCAAGAACCAAACGCGGGAGTCGTTCGAGGCGTCCTTCAAGGCGAAAGCCTGGTCCACGAGGACGCTGGACGAGTTGTCCAGGAAACTGTGCCCGCAACTGCAGCAGTTCGTGGTCTTCTCGTCGGCCTCCTGCGGAAGAGGAAACGCCGGACAGACGAATTACGGTATGGCCAACTCCGTGATGGAGAGAATCTGCGAGAAGCGAGCGGCGGATGGTCTGCCCGCGTTGGCCATTCAATGGGGCGCGATCGGAGAGGTTGGCCTCGTCGCCGAATGGCAGGACAGCAACAAGGAGCTCGTCATTGGCGGCAAGTTGCAGCAGAAGGTATCCTCCTGCCTGCAGAAGCTGGAGGACTTCTTGCTGCAGAATCGTCCGGTGGTGACAAGCATGGTGGTGGCTGAGAAGCGCGTGGATGCTCATGACGCTATCGATGTCGTGGATACCGTAGCGAATATAATGGGTGAGATTATTACCGTAATGTTACTTCAAGATTTGCCACACATTCTGTAATCAGAATTTTACTATATAAAAATTCGATAATATGAATATCACTTTCCCGCAGATTATATTCCAAGATATATTTCGTCTACAACAATCACATTTCTCCGATATTTTTGCAGGCGTGAAAGATTTGAACAGCGTAGCTCAGAACGTGTCGTTAACCGAGCTCGGCATGGACTCGGCGATGGCCGTGGAGATCAAGCAAACGCTTGAACGAGAATTCGACATCTTCCTCACCGCGCAGGACATTCGCAATCTGAACTTCGCCAAACTCGCGGAGATACGCGACAAGGACGTAAAGCGGGAGAAGATGCAACCGCAGAGCGATACGCAGCTGACCGAGATTTCGGGCATGCAGCTGTTAATCCGAATAATGGATAATGAGAAAATGACTCCGGAGGTCTGCCTGCAGCTGCAATCCAAACAGAATCCACGTAAAGTCGAAGTGTTCCTCCTGCCGGGCTTTGAAGGTTGCGGACACGTGTTCGAACCGCTGGCGTCGAGAATCAAGCCCATAGCCTTAGCTTTGCAGTACGCAGAACGCCATATCGGACGTCAGAATGCATCCATACCGGAAATCGCTCAAGCTCTTTTACCAGTATGTACATATATATATAAAGCAAAAAACAATTAGCGTTTATATATCTCTCCTGAGCCGAAAGACACTTGTGTACTGACACTGCGTTTCAATTTCCAGTACGTTTTACCAAAGGCGGAACAGCGCAGGAGTTTTGCTTTAGTTGGATACTCGTACGGCGCGTTGATTGCTATCGAATTGGCGAGACAATTGGAGGACCACGGCTTGACCGGTCGGCTAGTGCTGATCGACGGCGCCCCGCTGCAATTAAAATCGATGCTAGAGCAATATCTGCCGTCTTCCACAGAACAAGAACTTCAAAACAATATCTTGCTGAGCATAATGGAGACTGTGCAACCGGTCGCGAGTGGAAAGGTAGATTTTACCAACTACTAAAATACTTTCTTGATCCTCTTGTTCAGTTGTAATCAGTTGTAAAGTCATATTCTCTTTCTTTATTGCAGCTACTCTCAGATCTCGACAGGTGCGCGACCTGGGAACAGAAGTTGGACAACTTGGTTTTGCAATTTGATTCTGCCAATCTACCGCTTTCCGTCGAAAACTTCAAGGAACTGTGCAGAACTATTTACAGCCACATTGTCGCTCTCCGCAATTACGATTTATCATTCTTGCCGCAGTTACGCAGCACGTCTATTATGCTCTTGAAGCCGACGCAACCTTCTATTGTTTTAGCCGAGGAAGATTATAATCTGCGCAAGGTATCGTGCATTCTCTGTATACTTTAAAAAATTTTTATTTTTCTTCTTTCAAATCGATAAATAATAATTCTCGAATCAAAACTGTGCAGGTTACACGAGATAAGATGGAAATACACTACGTCGAGGGTAACCATGTCACGATATTGGACAACGACAAAGCTGCTGCCGCAATCAACGGAGATCCGATGATAGATCCTACACTATTCAAAAAGCTTTTAACAGAAGACATACCCCTCGAAGTTGAAGAGGAAGAATACACGAGAGCCTAAATTATACCTTGAAAATAATATGTTTATATTGAAAAAAAAATTATATATATATATATATATATATGTAAATATGTATATATGTATATCTAAACTTATAGGCAAAAGCAACAATTTTCTGTATTTATGAAATAAAATCTTGATATAAAAAAATAAGTAAAGATTCATGCAAATTTTTATTACGTATTGCGTTCCTTCGATTTAATTAATCGATTCCTTCTTGAAATTTTTTATTTTTATGTTTCTCTCATAAAAACAGATTAAATTAATCACGTCATTAGTGCACATTTTTTAGACGTCTTTATTCTTTGTATGTCTATTAGAAATAAAAATGTTAATTACGGGCTAAATTACAGCGAAGAAGAAGCAAGATCTACTGGACGAATCATTAGTGTAGACAAAAAAGATCAATTTTTTTTAAATTAACTGATTACATTATATAAACATTTTTTTTGTTTTATAAACGATTGCAAAAATAAAGCATGTATCTGGGAATGAGTTTATAATGATATAAGAATTCTAAACATAGTTTCGTTGTATCATAATCGCATTTTAATGCAAAACTAGCATACATGTATTCAATCATTCACAATAAACACTCATTATATGTTATTACCTCGTCTATTAATATTTACTCACTCAACCTTGTACCACGCGGAATATAAAGTGAAAAGATATCATTAGTAATATAAGTTTTACATAGTTTTATGGAGATTAAATACAAAAAAAGAATAACAAATCAAAAATACTATAGATAAATGCCTTTTTTTTACTTCTCGATATATAATTCATGTGATTATGAAATCATATAATAAAAGATAGTACAATTTATAACACATAATACATATAGAATATACAAACAATAGATTATGATTTTTGCAAAATTAGGACAAAGCAAATTGGAGACATCGAAGATTATGAAACGAAAATAATATACGAAAATGTATTATCTTAATGATTATTATACAATAAAAAATATGAAGCATATTTCATTCTTTATTCTAATCTACTTCACATTTTGCAGATTATTAAAACATCCCCCTCTTCTCAGTGAAACATACAATATATATTTTTTCATTCTCGATATATGCAAAGATAAAATGGCTGTACTAACCAGAGATTTTCATAATTCCATTGGCTCGAACACTGACGGGGCACTGGGTGATACGTTATTTAAATCGGGAATAGCGTCGCTGTTATTATTATTGTTACTATTATTGTCAATAGATATGCTCGGGATGGGCGTCGGAGTATCTCTTGATGGCAGAACGCGAAGATGTTTATTCGGTGGTTCCCAAAGAACCAAAGCCATTGAAGGTCTCTCTCTGAAAAAAAAAAAACACATCAGATTTAGCTTCTTTAGAAAGTGGAGTGACAAATATGTTAGGTATCTTTAGTTTTTATACTTTATACTTATATTATTTCTTTTTTTTTGCTAGTGGAAAATTTATGCTCACAATTTGGACAGAATAGCTGATGGCAGAATAGGTTCCTGTTGCATTCGCTTCAGTTCCTCTGAAATAACTAATCTCGGATGTGTTTCGTCTGTTTGTTCGCCAGTTACTGCAACATCGAAATCCATATTTGATTGCTTATGAGGCAGGGACGATGTACCTGTGGAAGTTGATGGCACTGGATTCTCAGACTCATGACTGGAACTAATGCGCAGATCTTTGAAGTGTGCAGCCATTTTTTCCTCCGTTATGAATTGCTTTGCTTGAAGACACCTGTTTAGAAGACCACATATTATAGAGTTTTATCACACAGACGATCAACTAGAGAGATCTAAAGCTTGCATCACTCACGTATCTCCAAATTCCGTTTCTAGTTTTCTTTTGTGATGAAATACCGGTTTGTAATTGGGTCTGCCAGTAAAGGTAATCAATTCCGGTTGTTGCGAGCTCGATACACTCCAAGGGATGGATATCGTTGGACATGGTATCTGCAATGTTTGCAGCCAAGGTTCAACCTGTTGTGGCTGCTGTGCATTTTGCGGGTTCATCATCTGTTGGAAGATGGACTGCGACGTACACAAGTGTGCTCCACCCATAGTATTCTAAAACAAAAACATACACAAATTAGAAAAACATCACATGCAGCAGTGATTGAAGATTGCTCGGCAAGAAACAATTCGATATTCCCGTTCTTTGAAACTCGCATAAGAATTTGACCCAAATTCGCTTACTGTCATTTGAGATGTACTCGGCTCCGGGAGTGCACTCTGTTTGGGATGCGAGTTTCGCGACTCCAGGGTATTGACTATCTCGAGAAATGACACATGTATTAATATGACGTCTGCTTTTTCTTCACGGCAGTCACGAAGGTGACTCTGTGCTTTAAACTCGGTGATTCAATTGACAACGAAGACCAATGTGACGGTAATGACAACAAATTTCCCTTGTTGGACGCTAACCTACAATCGTCTTACGTCACGATCGAGCGTAGTAACGTCTCTCTGTGAAAGATCGTGTAGATGCTTCTTGTACGTTATAACAGCTGCTTCTCGTCTCATTTATTGTTACCGCGTCATGAACCACTCCAGAAAGATCGCGTCTTCTGGAAAATTTGCAAGTCAAAAGCTTCTGTTATTGTTTGCTTCGCTCGAAATTTGTGTAATGTCGCAGCATAGGTAGCGTTAGTGACGCCAGATTTGAGACGCAAGCAGCAAGCAGCATGAGGAAGGAAATAGCGCATCAATGTTTGTTTCACTTACACTTGCTGCATTCAAAATGAGACGATATTGTTTCAGCTTTAGAGAGAGAGGGATGGATAAAAGGTGCAGAGTGCAGAAAGCGCAAATCTGCACAGCTGACTTATCTTCTTTAGCTGCATTTCCTGTATTTAAAAATATATATGTTGTATAAAATCAATTATATATTTAATGCGACACTGTCACGGTATTATTCATATTTTTTTTCTTGCGAGACGCATATCAAGCTGAATTTCAAGTATAAAAAATACTGTTTATTTTTTGCGATGACAGATACATCAATTTCCGTGTTTACTTTTCAACAGTAGCAATGAAAAATTGCGCATGCAATCATCTACAATATGCGAGAGAAACACTTAATAATTTTATTTGTCACATGTACAATACACATACACGACGCAGATTATATCTAATAATTATATACACTTCTATAATTCCTTTTATTTCATACTAATCAAGTAACAATAAAGATACATCAGATCAGCGATAATAACGATAATTATATGGGTAGGGTACTTAAACATTATATAAAAAATATCATAGAAATTACATAAGTTACGTGATATTATATCTTTTTAGTCGGCTCACAAAGCAACATTAAAACATTTAATACACGTATAGCAAAACTGAAGATCATGGTATTTAATTCTCTACAACAAATGCATTTCTTTTTTATTATTTTGATTTTGCAAAATCAAAAAATAAAGGAATATTGACTTAGGAATTTAAAAAAATCCTTTCACATTTTGACTTTTCTTTGAATGTTAATATAAGTACATGTGACATTTTTATTAAGATTTCTATGACGTTTATATAATAATCTCTAAGTATATCACACACATATCTTGATAGATAACATTTTTAAATTATCAAATTAATTATTGTTGTAGCAAATATCCTTAGTAGAGAATTAAAAGTTTGAATATTTCGAAAATATATTCTCTATTTACAAAAAAAAAAAAACATACTACGTATATTTTATGTACATAACTTATGTGTGACAAAATCCAATCCTGACTTTCAAAGAATTGGTCACGCATTTGTTACAAGATTTTGTCAGCATTTTGTCACGCAAGTAGCCACGTAACTTTTATAGCATACAAATTGCATAACTTGTTTTGATTTTTCAATAGTTTGGTTTCGTCACCAACCAGTCCAAAGTTTTCGCATATATATATTTATATATATAAATTCCGATCTATTAATACAAAGTTTTAAGACTGAGAAACATATATTTGAGAGCGCTATCAATTCTGGGCGGAATTGTTTGAAAAGAAACGTGAGTCTATGCTGCTTTAGAAAAGAATGAAATGTAAACATCACTCCATTGTGATAAAAGTATATATGTGATACACGTGATTTACAGTGAATGTGGTTTTTATAATCGCTGAAACCAGTTTGCTCGCGAAAGGTCGATGCGTGAAAGGCGGAGAATCGGGGAAAAACCCTTCCTTTCAAAGAGCACGTTAGTGCGTCTTAGCGAAATACCGGTGTGCTCTATCAGATTATTCAGAAGTACTGCAGTATCATATTGTCGCGCTGCTCTTATCTGGTAAACAATTCTCACATCGATATCACCAAGAAACACGCATTACGTGCTTCTGTAAGTACACATTTTATTAATGAACGCAATTGATTGCTTGCCAGATTTTTCCGGGATGACGATTTATCTTTTTTAAATAAACTGAAAAATATAAAAACATTATAGTTGTATCCCTGAAATATATGCATACATGTGTCATTGACTTAAATGTTTATTAAGAGTTTCTAATTGTTACGCAAATATGATTCACAGATTAATACAGGTATTAAATAACTATTCCGAGTTTGCGAGTTATGAGTAGATGACAAGGAAGGTCATTTTTCGAGATAAAAAAGCCAAGTTTTAAGAAAGAAATAGATAACAACTATTTCTTCAAACTCTAAATGGACTTTAGTTCATCGAATTTAGTTTCATTCAAAGTTCAAGTTGGAATTCAAAGTTCTTAGCAATCAAAATATAAAATGCTGAAAATTGAAGAAATGAGAGATAAATCATTAAAGAATTTAAATTACTGTTAAAATTCATTAAAGTTAAAATCGCGATTTAAACCACTCGATATTGCAGGTGGAAAATTTCCGTATATTTTGATGAATATACAGACACAAGTTTTAAATATTAGACTGCTATCACTACACATACATGTTATAATGTATACGCATGATGTAAGCTATTGAAATATCTTACGTTCGACAAATAAAGACGCGCGAAAGAGTTGATGGGATACTTTACGCTGCTTGAATACCAAAGTGCCGGCTGGAAGAATAATTGCGAGTTTTTAGCTTCAAAAAGTAATTCCCTCTTGTGTGGAAGAGAAAAAAGAATGTAAAATGACCGTTAAGCTACCTCTCGTAGTCCAAACATGTTATACCAGATCTCTGCATATTCCAATGATTACGTGGTATATATATACGTATAACGCGATCCAAGTGATTAATTCCAGCTGTCAGAACGGAGAACTCCATAAATAATGCCGTCATTTATTATATTTGCCAAGTAGGCGAAGGCACCGTATATTTGCCAAGAGGACTAATCTCATTTACAATGATACTGCGTTATATTTAACGGTGCACGGCAATCTCTGGCGTTGCTGAAAAAATTCAATATCAAGTAATTAGGAAAAAATGCGAGATAAGGATTTCATGTGATGTTTATACCTTTCGCGCTTTATCTCGCGCTGCGAACAATCATCTCCCGATCGACAATTCGCATCCTTTGTTTAACGGATCGCTGGCGGTTTTTTTTTTCGCCGCGTTAATTGCCTTATCAGGGTCTCAAAGACGGAAAAATAAACGTCATTGGCCGCAACACTGGCATCTTTTAGCGGGCACGTGAGAGGTGGATCACGTATCGCCACACACTCGCAATACACACACGATCGGGAGGCCACACGGTCGGTTATTATGTCGCAGATATGGCCCGAAGGTAATTAATACTATTGTTATGATTCAGACGGGCACGTCATGTCCGCGTACCTTGACTAGGCGATCCTTCAGTCTTTGGCCGGAGCTCTAGCGCACAGGTTCGCGGCCGCTCGACGTCTCCCGAGGCGCGCACACATGACACATGCATCCGCCGTGCGCTTTAAACACCATCCCGGGGAAATAATATGTCACTTACAAAGCGGCAGCGTCTTGCAATACCATATGTCACGCTTTCAGTTGTGCAATCTTGTACAGTAATAAATCGCCGTGCGGTGTGTTGGTGCGTTAATTCCTAGTCCAAGCGAGTAGTATGCAACCGTGCACAAAAAAAATTCGTGCGAACGGTAAAAGTGAGTTGTGTGGGGTGTAACACCTTGATATAATCTGCATATCTCCAATACTTGTGCCGCTTTTATGTACCGAGGATGACGAAGGCACGTACGGCGAGCTGAATGTGTGAGCACACTAAGGGAGATAAGCGTGCAGTTTTTCCGCGTCGCGCAATTACCGCCGATCGGAAAATCCCGTCTTGAAAATGAACGCCTTCGCCGACGGTGTCCGGCGGGAAAAAATGTCCAGCAGCAGCGCGCTCAACGACATGGCGGAGGACACAAGGAGCAAGTTCAACAAGTCGACTCAGAGCGACATTCCGTGGAAGCTCTCTTACGCCGCGCCTAGATCCAAACCGCAGTCTTTAGGATATTTGCCGGCGAAGCAGTTTCAAATGAGCGAGCTGAGCTTCTCCACGCACAGCTCTAGGAGCACCTTGTACCCGGTTCAGAGCGAGCTGGTTTTATCTCCTAGAAGCAGATACAACAACAATAGATACGTATCGTTAGACATGAGATCGGTGAGCAGCCTCCCGTATTCTAGTCCGCACTTGAACAGTAACGTTTTGGGCAACGGTGCGCCGTACACGTGTTGCTGTACGTGCACGGGCTCGCAAAACCCGCCGCCGACGCCATCCTCGTCTCACAATCAACCCGACGAGCAGGACGGGCCGGAAAGTCTCTCATGGAGGAGACTCCACATGAGCAGGGCGAAGCTGAAAGCAACCGCAACAACATCCGAGCTTCTTAGTGGATTCGCAATGGTAAGTATAATGATTTATGTTAGTAATATGATAATAATATATTTACATGTAATATAAAGACATTTAATCCATTACCCGTCATATTTTTAAGGGATATTTTTTCAGAATCTAAATTTTTTAAGATTTAGAATAGAACTTTTTGGTGACCGCAAATAATTCTTAATTCATATTTCACAAATACAAGTTTTTAATTTGATATATATTTTAAATATAAATCGTTTTTCGTTAAATTATAACAGTTAATGGATTAAATAACTTTTTCTGCCTATATATAACCTTTTGATGTAAAGTAAATTAGAGAGAAATTGCATTTAATTTAATATTAACTACGTTGAGAAAAAAATTTCAAAGTTGATATTGCGACTAAAAAATAAATTACTTAAAATTGCTAAAATCTAGAAAGATCATAAACTTATATCGAAACATAATAAATAGTTCTTATAAAATTTGGAAATATGAAGTATTTTATAATCATTAAGATTTCTTGAGGATCATTTAAATAGACCTGTTTTCCTGGAAATCTAACTCAGAGCGGGCTGTACGCGATTACACAACGTTTCCTGAAAATGGTTAAATTGACGTTGACGACAATTCTATGTAATCTTCATGCACATCTATGGTTATATAAGGCAGATATCACTTTCTTTAATCCGCTTCACTTCTCGCAATACCTGTAAACATCTTCCGACGTCGTTCGCGACAATGACTAGCAAATATCGTATTTCAGTTTTCCTTTTTTTTTCCCTGGCCCTTTAGGTGGCGATGGTGGAACTGCAAATCAACGAGCCGACCGAGGTGCCAGAATGGCTGTTCGTAATGTTCGCAGTCTGCACTACGTTCTTGGTGTCGGTGCACATCTTCGCGTTGATGATAAGCACGTATCTTTTACCCAACATCGAAGCCGTAAGCAAGCTTCAGGTGTCGCGGCTTGTGACGGAGTCGCCGCATGAGAGAATGCGCGGCTTCATCGAGCTGGCCTGGGCGTTCTCCACGATACTCGGACTGTTCCTCTTTCTGGTGGAAGTGGCTATCCTCTGCTGGGTGAAGTTCTGGGACTATTCTTTCACCGCTGCCACTGCCAGCACTGTGATAGTCATTCCCGTGCTAATAGTATTCGTCGCTTTCGTCGTTCACTTTTATCACTCTTTGGTGGTTTACAAATGTGAGACTGCGGTGTTAGATATGAAGGACTTGGAGAGTATAAAGAGGAACTTGGACAATGTGACGATGGGGCAAACTAACGTGTGAACTGTGAAACCATAATGTGACAAATGTTATTGAGTGAAGTGACAGGAAAACTTTTGTCGAAACTTAGGACAACGGAGTAAAAATTGTATACTATAAATTTCTCTCGGAAGTTAATTTATTGCAGGCGAATACTCAGGTTTTGAAGTAGGAACCGCTGTTTAAATTGAAAGACACGTTTAATAAAAACGGCGATAAGAAAAACACATGCGAATTTGTTATCAATAACTTTACTTTTCAAACGTGACCATACGTGAAAATGGCCAGGTTTTATTATATATAAAAATGTACATAGCTGTACACATGCAAGTCAAGAATTGCAACAGTACAAGCAAGTGCTCTTAGAATATTACTTATAATATCCAGCATTTAATAATATTCTCTCTATATATATATATACGGTTCAACTCTTGATCTTCATTTAAACCTGTTCCTTCATCATTCTTTCTCTCTATCATACGTATCACTAGTATATATTTCCTTTTAGCTCGTTCACTTAGTTTGCGGGAAAGCTGAAGGACACAGAGTTGAGTACTCATTTTATATACACTTCCAGTTTACATAATGAGCATTTTCAGTGCTTGTAATCCTAGTCCATAAATAAATCAGACTTAAGGACGTTCGATAAAGCGTCGCTTATAGAAGAAGAACAAATGTATACAGTCGGCGTGTCTTTCATCTTTGCCAAAAACCAAGCTGCAACCTTACTATAAACACTTTCTATAGTATTATGCCTTAATTTCTTTTTTTTCTTTTTTGTACAAAAACACTCATCGAGGGAGGAGTCGTTGTAAGCAAATCGGGGGGAAACAAAATTGCTTTAGCAACAAAAATGTCATGATCCTGTCGCGGTATAAATTACAAATTGTATTGCACTAATCCTATGCTCGAAAACTCGACCGTTTTCTTAGAGATACACGCTACGTTGTATTCGATTATTTGCTTAAATAAGCAAAATCTCTTCACAGAGGCATAACGCGAATCTTGCTACTGCAAAATTTGCCTCCTGAGGTTATTCGTATGTACATTGGAAGAAAAAATTTTTAATGTACGTTAAATATTACAAAAGTATAAAGATTGTATCGCAGTAGATATTTATATAAAAAAAAACAAAAAAAAAACCAAAAAATGTAATTATACAGTTGAGAAATCAATAATATGTGCATCAAGCACTCTTTAAAATGTAACAAATACGTTTAAAATAAATAATTTTTCACAAACGCAACTTTTTTTTAATAATTCTCCGATCGAGTAACAAAAAACGAGAAAAATTCATTACATTACTTATCGTATAAGCAATTATTATATAAAATGTTAGAAATTCGTTTAAGAAATTACGTGACAACGATGGAGAATAAATTGCTTGTGCTATGGACAGGTAAACGAATGAAGAATGATAAACTATAATCGCTACGAAGTTAACGAGATGCTATCCAATGATACGCTTAAAGATGCCTTCATTGTAAGATCTAATTCAGGTAGAATTCAGGTTCCGTGTTCGTTTTTCTACATTAATATACAAGTGTACAGATTAAATTAGTTTGGATCGCTGAATAGTTCGCTTTCTCTCGATTATACTTGTCTATCAGGTTTCTACGATTAAAAAAGTACTATTTTCAAAAATCTGTGAAGATACAATAATGTTTATCCAAAGAACACAAATTGTGAATTGTCATTCTGGCATACGTATATAAATTTATAATTAGCTAAGTATAATACAAAAAAGTTGAAGCAATCGTTAAATATCTAATTGATTTGTGACTGAGAATTGCGTAACCTATTTTAAAGTATAAGAAACAATATGAAAGCAGTTATTATTCCACCTCTCTTAGACAATGTAATATTATTATATATTAGAATATATTATGCTATTTCATTAATCTACGACACTATAAATTGATCCAAGAGAAAGGTAGAATGGACAAACTCGTTTATCTTTCAGAAGTCACTTAATAAATTGGCTTTCATAGATTTATAATCTTCAGTCTTATCCTTAAATAAACGTATAAAGTCTTTCTGACAGCCTATCCATAGCAAGAGCTTGTTTAAAAAGCGATTTTTTTTAATCTAGAAAACAAACATCCCTGTAAATCGCATTTTTAACGACAGAGTTCCCTATTATAACCTACTCGTGTGTTGAGAATGACAAACAATTTCTTCGAAATAGTTTTGTCCTATCGATGAGAAAGCAACGAAACGAAACGCGATATCCGAAAGAAGAAAAGCGTGCCACTGATTGCTGTAAATTCGCGAATTTGTGCCCTTAAGTTTAAAATGATAATAAATACGTATAATTACTTTTAGCGCTATATTCTGTGTTCAGTATATTAAACCAACTTTAAAACAAAGTCACAACCTACATGCACGTATGTACTGAATTCTTATCCAAACGTTCAAGAGTTCACGAATTACTCTATTAATAGATACTCGGAAGTAAATAGATTGAGTACAGCGAATCAAAATGTGATATCTCGGAATACGAGTCTTCCGACTATTTGTAACTGAATTTTACGAGAGAGAAGAGTAGTTTTTTTATCTATATTTTGTTCGAATAGAAAGTAAGTATTTCGAGAATTTGTTCATTATCGATCCTACGGTAGAAGTGAAAGATCTTTCGTTCGTTAAATTAACCACGTGATACATAGTCCTTTTAAACTATTACTTAGTAGTTGAAAATGACGATAATCGCTTGCGTTAACTACTGTGCACAATATCTATTAATATACTCAAACATCAAGTTAAGACACAGAAAGAATGCCAGCAATATACGTGTCATTTGGCATTCCAGGAATATTCGCAGAGAATTCTCCGTCCTCTAATTGTTTCGGTAAAAAGTTCTTTGCACCGCTAACATTACATTCGTGACATTATATTACATTTAAATTATTTATACGGTGTGTTTTTTTACACCGCACATAATTGCGTCGAGCCTTAGATCTGAATTATCCTCTATACGTCATATTGACTTTAAAAAGAATATGGATGTATTGCGCGCGCGTGTATGCCTGTGTGTGTGTATGTATGTATGTATGTGTAGAAAAATTACTTACATTAAATGACATTGATGAAAACAAGAGTGTGAAGTTACATGGTGGTGAATCTCACGCAAGAATTCCGCCTCCGATACAGCACAATATACAGAAAACCATGACTCTTGTCAAACGTCCATATGTTTCGATGGTGGTTGAGATATGAATGGTTCACTCCACATTCGACGCAAATCTCCCTGCAAACAATTAACACGTTATAATCTTATTGCATCTTGTTTTGCATCATTTTTTAACATGTACATCCCTAAAGTTCTTTTAAAAAGAAATGTTGCGAAAGACAATTTTACATAATCGGAACTAACATAAAATTTCTTAAATCATTTCTTAATGTAATTAACAGTACATGTGCAAAATATCATCTTTCTCGTTTATAGATGATTCAATCTGAAATAAATCTTTTCTTTGTAAAAATATAAAAGAAAATTCTCGCAAGTTTCTAATTCTTCGTTACAAAATAATATAGAAAGACAGATAGAGGAAAAATAATGAATAAACAATACCTTCAAATATGCCATCGTGAGTAATGGCAATAAAGTGAAGGGCACAAGGTACAGTAAGGCAGGCTGCGCAGCTTTGAACACCTCAGAGCTTACAGTGGCGGTAAGTAGACCAAGAAAATAACCGATCAAGGAGCAATGAAAATAGCTAATCCGACTGAAGTGGCGCGGCGGTGGTACTCCAGTTTCGCAGCCGCCGGGCAATAGCTGAGTCTTCTTGTACGCGTCGTATCGCAACACAAAACAGAGTAGGAGACCCGGCATAACAACGTCGCCAAGGCCCAACATCGAGAAGTGTCCCGCTTGATGCATCGACGGGAAAACCAGTTTGCCGGGTAAAGGTAGTTTCGGCGCGGCTCTCGCCACGCCGCCTAAGTGTAATCTCCTAGCCACGAGACTTACTGGATTATCTGCAGGCCTAGTTGCTACCTGTAGAAAAAGCAATATAGATTAGAAAGGTCATATTGTTATATGAGTGCCACGATTTGTTCGGCAGATGGCTTATAGATATTGCGTACGAATATTATGTGGACACATTGTGCAATTCAGTTTACTTTTATCTTACAATGCATCACTGTACGAAGGACAATGCGATACAAAGTGGCTTGGATAAATTTAGAGTGTATCACAAGAATAATATAAATACTAGTTGTTACGTATACGAGTTGTCGAAATAAAACATGGACTCTACGTGAGTAGCACCGTCGATATCCAAAGAATGTTAATGTTCTATGTTTGATTTAAACAATTTGTATAGAATTAATTTATAAATGAGGTTTGTAAGACTCACCTTAACCATTACGTTTGTGCTGAATATATAGGACGAAAAGAAAACCCAGAAGACATCGTAAATCAGCAGTCCAGTTAATAATAACGTGGAAACCTTGAGACTAGGTAGTCGAACAAATGCAATAAATGCCACACACAGGCCCATACCCATCGCATCCATCAGCAGCCAATGTCCAGTCAAGACCCAGATGCATACTATACTCACACTGAGCGAAAATGAGAGTAATTCCGCCCCCGTAAATCTCCCGCAAACACCGAAGGATATTTTGTTGCCGTCCGAGCATGGTCTAATGATATACTGACACATGGGCAATAAAAGGAATGCCAATGCAACTGTAGCTATAACTGCAAACATACAACATCATTTTCGTGTTACTCATTACAAATGTCAAACTCACAAACTCTGTTACGGGAAATACTGTGTCTCGAATGAAACTGACTCCAAATATGAAATTCAGTATAAAACTTACTGGCTGTACAAATTGCAAGAAGCATCTGCATACTGTCGAAAAAGAAAAACATGACGAGTAGAGAAATGGAAGCACCGAGAGGTAGACAGAGAGCATGCATCGTATCCAGAGTTTGAACTCTTCCTCCATTAGCGCCATCCGCATTGCCAGTGCCGCTATTACTTGTAAGTCCAGTCAATAAGTTACTACGCTCCTTTTCCTTTTCTCTTTCCCTCGCTTCTTGCTCCATATTTAGAGATCGAAAACTACCGTAAACTATCAATAGGATTGATATTAGGAAAGTGGATATCCTAGATGAGTCCATTATGGAATAAGCCCTGCAACGAGTCACAATGATTGACGCAAACTTGCAAACGTTAACTTGGAAAGGAATAAAAAGAAATACCAAAACATGCACTAACCACTGGTAGTCGACTTGATACGTGGCCATGTTTAAGAATGCCTGGCCGCAGCACTCAGTGCTATGCGAGGACACCTCCTGGCATTTAGATGTCCTTTGTTGAAGTGCTTTTCATTTGCACTAAACTATATCAGAGATCATCTGCTACTAAAAGAGATAAGAAACAAAAGTTGGAATAACATTAACCCTGATTACCCGCATGGTTGTCATCGCAGTTATCACAAGTTGGAAAAAAGATTATCGCAGAGAACGTACCTAATGTCCTTCGAGTTCAGCATTATTGGCGAATAGAATTAGGCCTTGGAAGCCTCGGGTCACCCCCTTAGTGGCACAATGTAAAGAAATAAAGATCCCGTGGTGAGTTTACAGTACGTACAGCGTGCGAATGGGCGGTAAGCTTGGCGTGACGAGCGGAACGGACGACATCGCGGGATTCCGGCACGTAAAATATATACTCGGGATACCGTTGCGCGGCAATGAGATCACGGCGGGATCGCACGCGACGAGCGAGAGGATGATCGTCGTACCGTGACCGCAGTGCGTCGGGTCGTGGCATACCTCGTAATCGCGCCCAAAATACTCGGCCAGGCACGACGCCGTAGCGCGACAACCGTGATGCGTTGTGCGTTACGACGCACCGTGGACAACACACACCCGCCGTCCGCGGATCCACTTTCGAAACTTTTACTCGCGCGAGCGTGTTGCCGCACCGCGTATAGAGAGAAGACGAGAGGAGCGCGAGCGAGACGCCAGAAACGAGAACGACGCGCGCGGGATGATCGACTCGCCCGGAGGACTCGCGCGCCGCGACACCGTGTCCGAGGTGCGCGTCGGCGTATCGCACGGCGCGTATTGTCCTGTGCACACGAGCACAGCTGATTACGGCTATTTATACATTCAATAGTTGTGCGAGACCGTGCCCGTACGGACGGAACGCAGAGTCGTTCGTAGCGCACGGCCGTTCACCATTTTGGTAAACACAGCGGGTCACGTGATCACTGGCCCTGGCCCCAAGAGGTTGCTACTCCCTTACCCTAGATCGTGCGCTTTTTCGCGAGATTCCCCTCCGCGTGTGACTCTCACCTGGGCGATCCGGAGTCTGGATGCCTTTCGCATCTCACCTCATCGATCCCCGCGAGTTGTCCTGCCGATGACAATGAAACGGAGGAATCCGCACAAACGCGTACACTGAATATCTATCGGCGCGCGAGACGGCGCGATACAGCAGCCACTACAACACGGTGCACTACGGTGAAAACTACTGCACGGGTCAACTGCTGCTTGACGGGCGCAGGTCTGTCGCAAATGCGTTTACTGGGCGTTTCAAGTGCATCGTTTTACAGTCGCGCGATGCGAATTTGGCCGATGAAAAGGAAACGAAAATGTTCTCTACCTGCAAATGTATATACAAATATTAAATATTAGTTTTCTCTTCAAAAATTATTTGGTTTAAATGCATTATTCTGAAATTGAAATTTCAAAGATATTGAAATTATATGTATTTTATACTGTTTTATACTGTTGTATATAAAGAAAGATTCACCTTGGATAGAAAAGTGAAAATAAATCATTTCGACATGAGCAACTGAAGATTTGTAACTTCTTTCTTGCATTACAATTTACAAGATTGCAATGTTGCTACAATAGCTGCAATCGTAGCCAAGCAGTTTTGGAAAAGCTGTAGAGATAATCATATTATTCTATTAACTTACTATGTAATTAGATTGTAATTGTATTTGCTTTTCTATTACTGATATATAAATTCACAATCGCAATGCTTGATTTACTAAAAATAAAGATATGTAGTTCAAATTTAATTATAAGATTATGGCGTTTCGAAAAAGAAAGATGACAAACTTTGATAATCACGATAAAAATGATAAACTTCTTCAATACCTTCGAAATACTCATTTACAGGACTTGAATTCTTCATTGTTGCACTTGCAATCGCATCGAAAAGAAAGATCTATTCGCAGAATAAAAAACAATCAAAACGGTTAAAATGTTCGACAAACATTAATCGAGATCGTTAATGTACTATACAATTTATACAATTAGAGACCCTCTTATTATGAACAATTCATAGTCAAACGCCAAGTCTGATGTCCGATTTTAAAATGTCAATATCCAATAGCAAAATGCGCTATCTAGAAACTATACCCAACGCCATGTTTGTTTCTAGAAAATCAAGTTTTTTTATTGGATACCGAACATTGGATGCAAATGCAGTGTGAATCATGCATTAGTCTAAACAGTGTATCAAACATGGCGGCAGGCTAATTACATAAATTATTTGGCGGCAACAATCAATCTTACTTGAGATATCAAAATCAGCAAGGCAATATATTTCAGTAAAAAAAAGGAATTTATAATTTGATATTCATCAATATGTATTTTTCTAACAATAGATTCATAAAGAGTACGTATTTGTTCAAAAATTAAAAAATATAAAATTATTCTACTATAAATCAAGTTTTAGCATTATGTAGACAGATAAATAAGATTGTTTAAAAAGTTTAAACATATATACAAGAATAGTTTTATACATTAAAATTATGAATAATACAATATTTTTTAATTGAAAAATATTTGCGATAAAAAGAGGGATGATGGACAACGTAATACGCGCAGGAACAGGCATTCAACACAAACAAACGTGGCAAGAGTATACTGTATTTTGTCCTTTTAATCATTACCATACGAACCGTTACTTACAAATCAAACTGTGATTGTGATAGTTCCTGCAGGTTTGAATGTGTGTCTGTAGAGGTGTGTACGTGTGTATCTGCCTGTGTGTATATGTCCTCTTTACGAAATTACGTTTATCGTCTATTTAGCATTCTTAGTGGTACGTCATCGTTATTGATATTACCATTATATTTACTTTGATACAATAAAGCGCTAATGCGGTAGTAAATAATATTATAATGTATAACTTTAATTAAATACATGAGCGTAATAAATTCAGCACTTGGGTGAGGCAATTTTATATATATATATATATATTCGAACGAAGAAAAATATATATATACATCTATATGTACATATATTAATATATAGATAGATATATATTATTTTTTTTTTATATTGCGTATTTAATTGGCGTATTTTATACTGCGTATTTAATTTTGCAGTCGCTCTATGAATTCGCAGGCTCACGAAACGCTCTATAAAATCGAACGCACGTTCCATAAAAATCCATTTGTAAATAATGCAAAGTGAGCATGTCACTACACTGCAAACTGCTCTTCTCTCGTGTTTACTTTTATATATATATATATAAATATATATATATAAAATATACATATATTTATAAGCGCGTAGATATAACGTAGAGATGCGTATATACAAAAATATATACAAATATTTTCCCCAATTTTTTGCTGCAATTGTCCTCCTTTCCCCCTTAACTCGCAAAATCTACACTGGGCTCCTCGCTATACACGTAATATGGCATCCTTTACCTTGGAGATACCTCTCATTATCAACGACTTTGATGACGAACAAGTTCTGTACTTTTTGCATTAACATTAAAACGGTCGAATTTACTTTAAACACTAACAAAAACATTTCAAACAATAACAAAAAATTTTTTATCCCTTCTGTATCTAACTTATAATCTAATAATTCAAACAATGTAAACCTTTTATTTCATGTTTTTTACTTTCATTTCAAGAAAAATACGAATAAATAATCGTTTTACTATTACTAAGTAATAGTAAGTTTATTACTATTACTAAGTAATAGTAAACTAATATTACTAAGACTCCTGATCAGATATTGAAGTCACATTGAGTCATGGCCTCAATGTTAGATCAGATATAATGTATCTTCAGGTAAAGAAAATGGATACATCTTTTCTGTGTTTTAAATAAGCTAAGTTTAACTTTCGCCAATTAAGTTTCTTAGTCGTAAAATATTTGATCGTTTTATAACTCTCTCATCAAAATAGTGACCGTTTAATATTAAAGTAAACGTCAATTTATTTCAATCTGATAAATAATCTATTAAAACTAATTACCAATTGCATCTTTTAAAACACTTCTCGGGATTAATTGCATCAATTCCACCATCTGCTGCTAGATAATTAATATTTTTTCTTTTTCATTCAAACTGCAGAAGGAATAAAAAAGAATTACAAAATAACATCAGTAAACCGGAAATCAGTAAACCAAATAACATCAGTAAATCAAACAATTGTTGATGCAATCAATTCAGCGAGAGATATTTATATACTTTTTATATAACGTTAACGTGTACTTGTTTTAAAAAACTTGTTTTAAAGCTGTAATTCATTCGAATCGTTGCTTATTCGCGAAAATGGCAATGAGTATTTTCGATTGTCGCGCTCTCGTCTAAATGCTCCTACATGTCCTCGGTGCGAACAATGTAATGATTACAGAATGCAGAATGTCCAGCAAACCATGGTGCAATCAGTGAAGTTCAGAAATAATTAAAAATCGTAATGTCAGTTTCAAATATATCATACACGAAATTTCATGTGCGAATCGCATTTCTCGAGAACCACGCGACCTAAAAAACATTGTTTCATCAGAAATCACCGCGTCATCGATTGTACCACAATATACCAGATACCGTGTATAATTCGCGACATTTTCCCCGCGCAACGAGTTCAATAATAAGGCACATTTTTAATTGATTTGCGTTGCCAGAATCGATGTGCGTGAAGGACACTTAAGACACAACAGATTCCCCGTTGGGGAGCTCAGAACCAGAAAATCGAAGACGTAAAAACAGCGATACCGAGGCCGGAGCGAAATTCGTTAAGCCAACCTGGGCACAGCCTACTCTCGTTAGACTTTTTGAGTCGCAGACCAGCTGCTCGGTGGGTCATGTGCTCCGACGCACAGAGGAAACAAACGATATGCGACGCGCGAGAGTGTCGCGGCCGCGATTTCGCGGGACTGACTCGGGCTCGAGTCGAGTTAACAATTATAAATAGCCTAGCATGGAGTATCATTTAAATAATTTACTTTTCCGTATGTACACATCGCGTTTCGCGCGCAATTCTTGCTGCTGCGCCCGTCGAAGCACAGCAACGCAGGTATTGGCACACGCACCGCGAATACTGTCGTTCGCATTAATTGTTGCATCAATTCCGCACGCATTTTGTCCTATCCCTTCGGGCTCTCCGACGCGCGCGCTTACTTGCAATCTGCGCATGGCACCTGGGATTCCGAATTAGCGGCTCTCAGATTCAGGAAGGCGTACTCGCTCGCCTTTCCCTGTCCTGCTACACTCCGAACTTGGGAGATAGATTTGTGAACGTGAAAGTTGCAGCTCCGGAACGCGCGCAAACTCTCACACCTCCACGCCGAGGACCCTGTCGACGACGTATTCGTATCTCTTTGGCTCTCCGTTGCCGTTCTTGTCGCTGGACTTCGGAACCTCGCTCTCACCGTTCTCCGAACTTGGCGCGCTCGACTCCGCCGCCGCCGTCGGCCGACCCTTAGCGTTCACGGACGCTTTATTTTTGGCGTTAGTCTCCGCGACCTCGTTCTCATTGGCGTTTACTGTGACGACAACGCCACTCTTCGCGGCGGACGAGGCACCGGAAACGCTGTTCGGCCTCGTTGTGGAGTTCGTAATCGCACTGTGAACGCTCGTAACCGGCTCCGACGCGTACCTCCTGTGCATGTGCGGTACTGCGGAACACGTACCGTTGGACCCGACATCCTCGGGCGGCAAAACAGGAACGTTCAGATTCACTCGCGTGAAGAAGGCCATCTTTTCCCTAAAAAAAAAAAATGTTGGTTAGTTATTGCATTATATATATATTTCTGTGGAAGACATAATCTTTGAAGTCGTAGAGAAATTATTGATTAAATTTATTTAAAGATTTGTTATCATGTTATCGTGTTAAACTATTTTAAGATAATAAGAATGAATCATAAATAATGAATACGTGCACAGTCCATTTGTCAAAATACATCTTTAAGATTATGATCTTTAAGATCATAACAACAGTGAGTAATCTTAAGATAAAATTACTTACTTGAAGGAGATTATGTCGGGCTTTCCTTTGCCAGCCTTCGTTTTCCTCAACTTATAGATCTCCTTCGAAGTTTTCTTTAGCATTTTCTCCACTTTTTTATCCTCGGCGCTCTTGCCGTTTTTGCCGCTTTCGGCTTGCGCCATGAGGTTTTGGAACTTCTGATCTTCCAACAGCCACGTCGCCAGGTCGGTGTCGCCTTTCTCGCGCGCTTGTTCCAACCGCTGCTTCAGTTCCCGTAACCTACAAAGCTCGTCTTGGAGATTATTTAGTCTAGCGTGTTGCGCCTGAAGATCTAATTCGAGATCCAACGACGTTCTCGCGGTGGGCGGCAAATGCGGCGATTTCTTCGAGGTGGTTTTGTAACTGAGAGCGGAGGACGGTCGTCGCCATCGCAGAGAGCGTCTCTCCACCGAGTTTCGTTGGAAAGGTCCGCCTCTGCGATAGAGCGGCATGCTGCTATCGCTGTCGCTCCGATTAAGCTGCACAAAACAAGATAAAAAAAATAAATACATACAATCAAACTTTATTAGATTACCAAAAATTTCTGCCTCCAAACGCTACAACAAATAAACGCGTGAAAGTAGTAATGCCAGCAATTTTTTGAACAAGCTGTATTTAAGCAATCTGTATGTCTTTTGTCTAATTTTAGCGATTGCAGCAAAGACTGTTTAATCGTATGTTTTATTAAAACTTTAAATTTTCATATTTAAAAAATTCAAGATTTAAAGGCCTTTATATTCTACAAATTTTCTTACGACTCTCTCTCTGTGTAGAAATAGATAAGAATAACAACAGGCGATACTTACGCGGCAGATGTAATGATTTTTGCTGACGGCTGCGCTCGGCGAGAACGTCTGACTCCTCTTGATCACAATAGAGTTCTTGTCGTCATAAACAGCGCCGGGCACAACGCCAGCCGCGGAGAGTTTTCTTTGCTTGCCCTGCTCCGGAATAAATATGCACTCGGTGTTTGTTTCCTTGTCCTGAGTTTGCCTCGTTTCCTCGTTCAACTCTTCATCTTCCTGTTAGGTCAAACCAAATCAAATCATCACGAATGCGTTCAAGAAGAAAAAATTCCGACAAATCGTGCAAACTCTTCGAAAGATTCGAGTTCTAACGCAACTTCGCACAATTAATACAATTTTAACTAAATCGAACTGTGTTCGATCGATTTCCGATGCTCAAATATTTGACTGTTCGAATAGTTAAAATACTAAAAACAAAAATTCTTTGCAAAATAAAATATTCATTTCGAATAAGGATAAAGAGGCTTTGTTTGCTCCCTTCTCAGATGCATCGCAAAACATAATTTTACTCTGCTATTTCCAGACCGTTCCACATCTCGCGACCTTAATTTTAATGATAAAATTGGAGTCGAGACTCTCAGCGAAAGTGTCCACAGCTCGAAAGATTTGATTTATAATTTCGAGCGGAAGGTTCAAACTTCGAAAGATTTCAATTTTCAATTGTCAGTTCCATTAAATCTATAGACATATTACCAATCGCTTCACGATAATAAAATTAAAGTAATAAGTAAATAACGCTTCTAAAGCATCGTCGCTCACCTCGTGCTCCAAAACATCCTCCAGAACATTGTCCTCCACCATAAACTCGACGATAATACCCTCCTCGCCGCTATCCTCACTGTCGCTTTCACTGCCTCCGTCCTCGTCCTCCTCCTCGGGGCTATTTCCAATCGCCAAACAACTGGCCAATTCTTCCAGTCTCAATGTCACAGCTGTCTGTAAGTTGTCGCAGCCTTGATTCCTCGTCAAGGTGGACGTCTGCGAGCTGATTATTGTACTCTCATCGCTGCTCTCCTCCTTTGTACTCTGCACGCTTCTGTACACCGAGATGTCCGATTCCTGTTTGTCGTGTTTCGCCTGCCGGATGACGCTCGTGGAAGCGCTGGTGCTGGCGCTAGGATTATCGGACGGGTGCATGAAGTGGAAGGAGAGTATGTTGTACCATTTCACGCTAGGAGATTCTGGACTGAAGTCTGCCAACGAGACTTGCGCAGAACCCTATAATCAGACAGCAATCATTGAGCAATAATTAATTTCGTTCTCAATTTGACTGTTCACAATGTCTGTTCTGTGCAAATTTCTCTTATTTTTGTATTGATTCGAAACATTTCTCAGACTTCTTTTTCATACTTTATCCATCAGACGTTGCGATAAAGAAATCTTGAAGTAGAGCAATAATTTTTTACGAGATACAAAAGTGTACGTACCAAGCATCTTTCGTCTTCGGTACACCAGAGTGTCACTTGCAGCGTCTTCGTATACAACTTCTTGAGTGGCATGGCGATGGAGAACGTCTCGCCGAAGGTCGGTTTTTGCAAGTCCACGACAGCTTTCGTGCAACACTTGGGATGAATCATTGGTAGTACGGCAGTTTTGATGTACCTGAAATACAAAACGAGAAAAAACATTAGTTTTTTGCGTAAAACATACGCGATTCGAGGTCGATATGTCGTCACACTGTTAGATCGCAAATATGCTCATGGACCACCAGTAATTTTCTAAAGGAGTATTCAAACAAAAACTAATGCTCGAAGGAAGGATCTTTTCTCTCGCTTCTTTTATTGACGGGATTAGAAAACGTTGGTTCACCGCCGTACGAAAGGGTGATCATTAATCAAACGCTCTACGTAACTACGCATTGTCTCCTTTCTTCCTTCATCGCGCCGTTTCGCGAACTTATGGCCAGTGCTCGGACACAATGAATGCGGGAATAAATTCCCGAGTGGCCGTAAAGCTAATTGCGAGACACAGTATCGTTGATAATAGCGAGCTCTTACGTAACGAAGGTGAACGCGCGGCGTTCAACTGGTCAATGATCCAGACACGAGAGCGACGAGGATTTCATAATTACATTCCGATTTCAGATACGTCAGTGGCGCGGCTCGAGTGGTCGATCAAGCGGCTAACACGGGTCATCAAGATCGCCAATTGCGACTGGCAAATCGACAAAAGTCGACTGCATTTGCGTAACCAGCAGGTTGATCTGATGTTGCGCAATCGAGTTATTTAATCGGTCATTTTTGAAAACGAGATACCATTCGCGGATAGTTTGCGCAGTGGCATGCATATTGAACTCTTTAACTAATCGCGCAAATGTAAATGTTTAATTTAGCTCCCGAGGAATGAAAGTCGAGACTACTGAAGCAAGAGTGAAAATATTGCGTGAAATATACTGTCCGAGAATAATTGAAAGAATCTTGTGGATACTCACACTTGCGCGTTATTGGGTATATTAAGCGCGGATAGATTCCTTGCGCGTTCGATGCCAATATGAAGCAATCCATCGCTCACCGAATACCTGATGAAAGCAAAATTATCGATATTAATTCGTCCTACTTTGTCCAAACTGTCGAAAAAACGCAGATAAAAACGTAATATGTGCAATAAATAAAGAACAATATTTAAGATGATATAAAAATCATAAATATTATATAGAAAATTAATAAATGTTTTATAAGAAAATATTTATAATTTTATGAAAAAAAGTTCATAACTATTTTAAGTTACACAAAGCTATATATAAATTATTTAGCGTAATAACATTTTTCTTCCGCGTATAAAGTCTATAATAAATATCATAAATAAATGAAACGCACCTCAGTTTGATTTGCACCTGCGCCGTTTCCAAGCTCATCTCGCTGGTAGCCAACGAATCCACGTCGGAAATATGACCGGACAGTCTTTTTCGGTTCGACGCCTCGAAGACGCCCGAGTCGCCGGCGACGCTCTCGTCGGAGACCGCGGCGGAAACGGATCTGGTGTTGGTACCGGAACTGCTGGCCCTCGATCTTATCCCGGTGGGTGGCGGCGTCTCGCTGATTGGCGACAGAGGCGGTGGTTCCTGAGGCACAAGCGGCGTCGGCACCTGCTGTAGCTGCAGCTGCACGCCGGTCGCGCCACCAGGCCTACCCAGACCACTGCCTTGAGACATGTTACTCGATTGCAGCTCGACAGGCGGATGGGGACCGATCACAAGCTTCATACGATCCTGCGTATTGGAAGAGCACGTCTGCTCCTGCTGAGCGATCACTCCCTGCTGCTGACTAAGCCTGAGTTCCGTCAAACGGTCCTCCAATTGAGTTCCGTCCAAATGCGACGGAATCGCGCCGCTGCACGCCACTGTCGCCGTTGCTGCCGTCGCGCTAGCGCTCGCCACGGGCACCGTTCTTTGATGCTGCCGTCTCTGCAGCTCCACCTGTTCATACGTAGGCGGCGGTCCCATCGGCGCGTTTTCGTACAATGGCGACACCGGCGGACTCACACTGGATAGACTCGATCTCGGTGAGAGACTGGGCTGAGATCTACCGGGCGACGGCGTGCCGACGAGATTGTTCTGCTCGGAGCCGCGCAGCAGTCTCTCCACGCGTCTGTGCAGATCCACCATGTCGACCGGTCGTTCCTGCTGCGAGCAGGCCGATCCTAGACACTGCGGGCCGCCGTAAATATCAGTGAAGCTGAGGCCAGAGCTGAGGGAACCCTTGCTGCTGGTCGTGCTGAGGCTACCGAGGCTGGAGCTGCTGCTCACCGATAACGTGCTCGCGCTCAGCGTCTTCAACTGGCCCTCCAGCATCGCCATCGAACGCAGGGCGTCCCTGAGTTGCTGCAGCAGCAGCTGCTTCTCCTCGTGCAGCCGTACGCGATCGGTGATGGTCTTGTTCGACAGCTCAAACGCGTTATTGAGATCCTGCTCGAGCCTGCGGATCTCGCACTGGATCTTCTTCATGTCCTGTTGCGTCCGCGTGCGCGGTGTGATGCTTCGCAATTCCCTCAGCAGCTGCTCTTTCTCCTGGAACAGCAGGAGCTTGTCCTTGTCGCTCTCGGACTGGCCCGGCGTCACCTTCTCCTCGAGATCCGCTAATTGCTGTTGAATGTGCTGGATCCGCTTCCTCGCCTCGTCGTACTGCAACCTCATACGCGCCATCTCGGCCAATCGGGTCCCGATCGGCACTAGTTCGCCCGAGAGATCAGTCTGGGAGGCCGTGCTGAGCTTCTCCTGTGGCAGACTGAGCGTGCTGGCTTCCGGACTACCCTCGCACAGTTGCAGCCTCGTCAGCTCGTCCTTGAGTTGCGCCAGCGACTGCATCAGCTCAGCCTTCTCCTTCTCGCCGGAGCTCAAAGACTTCTGGATGTTGCGGAGCTCTGCGTAAATTGCTTGCGCCTCCGTGATGTTGTAGCAGCCAGCATGATGACCGCTCAATTTTTGCTCCACACTGATCAAGCAAATAGACCGCAAAAGTTAGAGCTGTTCTTAAAGTGCTACATAAACTGGTATAACAATGCATATATAAATTAAAAAATAGGCATTAATAAAAAAAAATACGCAATTTAAAACATTGATCAATTTTTCGAAAAATTAAAAGTAAGAAAAAAATGAAAAAGAGAATGAAAAATATTACATAAAATATTTTCGAGAAAATACGCACAAATAATTTTGGCAAAAATTTAATTTTTAAATATGTAATGTATGTTTTATATGTAAACTAATATAAAATTGCTTTAGTAGAAAAATCGGTGATTGACGTTTGCGCGTATAATACCTGACAAGAGTATCCACTCCTCGTTGCGTGCAGTTCATCTCCGCGCGAATCTGCTCGAGTTCTCGTTTTAATCGAGAAACTCGGTTCCTGGCGAGTGCCACATCAGATTTAAGCAGGTCAGGGTCATATTTGGTACTCAAGGAACTCGAGCTGGAACACACTGCGCACCACAAACACCCGTCAATACTTTCCACGATGCAATCTGCCTGCACTCGTATTATAATCTACTCAGATTTTAAATCTTCGATAATATGTAAAGTGTAAAATTCGAAAACTGTCAATTATAACGATACTCTAAATTTATAGCAATGTTCCAAAATGTTTTTTTAATAATGAAATATTTTCACGGTCACGAAAAAAATTGACAAAATACGCGCGTAAACAGTAGCACATATTGCGCACGATTTATGAAATTTATATTAATTTAGAAAATTCTTTAAAATCTGTTTGTATTAAAACACTTAATATTGTAGAAAAATTCACTTTCTATTGAATAACACTCACAACTTGTACGCGATGCGCCGAGGGTGGATAAGGCGTTATTGAGGTGATTGTACTCGTCCTGTGCCAGACAGAGCCTCTGCTGCTTTACATCATAGATCTCCTTCTTCGCCTACAACACAAACATTTTACGATCCTTTTAAAACAACTGTCATGACTGGTTCTCTTATAACTATTATATAACTCTTATTAATTACTTGTCAAATATCATAAGCGGTAAAATGACATTTCTTGCATAAGAGAAATTAATTAGAGAGAGACACATTAAAAAAGTAATCATTTCTGAGACAATTAATTCCTTTGGTCCTTACAACTGCTGTGCTTCTATAAACAACAATGCAGCTGATTTTTGCTAAATGGCAATGCAACAAACTGACGAGAGGCTACCTATTATTTACTTAACGCCATTAATATTAAACGAAAAGTAAATGAGAAATATTTAAAAAAATTGTCTGTAAAGACAAAAAAGGCTTTCGGAAATCTTTCCAAATAATTATGACATCGAAAAAGGTCTTTGCTTTAATACGATTGTTTTCTAGATTTATCTTAATCGAGTAAGTATATCGAAGATATCATAAGCATATCATATATGTTTGATTTCAAATGAAAGCATAGTCAAATGCTCTTGTTACAGCAGGATTATTCCATGTATATAATTCCATATCCAATATCACTGTATCCCATATATTCGGCACGATTTCCTACGTAATAAATGCACTTCGATGCATCGATTTCACTAAAGAAAACTCGCTCATCAAGACGGTGCAACAGTAGAATATTCCTCAACATACAACCGCATTGCGCCGTAAAGAAACACCTATGATGTTCGAATGCTCTTTAATTCGAGCGTATTGGCGATGAAAATTTGGCGAAACACCTCGTGAAAGAAAAATAATTTCACGTTACGAAGAAGCACGTTCGATCACAGAGACACGATTGTCGCGTCTCGCACTTCCACTCGGGCAACGATGATGTTCGCGAAGAACTCGCGCGTACTCCTAAAGTATACGATTTCCTACGAAGTATTCCAAGCGAGTGGTCCTTACGTATTCGCAGTAGTAATACGCCGTGGCGTCGGTATCGTCGCGCTTGTAACACTGCTCCCAGTAGAATCTCTGTATCTGCTCATCGTTCTCGTAATCGTTGTGGTAGCACATCCTCATGCGATACTGCGACACGACGTTCTCGTAGATCTGCTCTTGTTGCTGCTGCTGCTGCTGCTGCTGCTGCTGATGCTGGTAGTACGTCGGACGTTGCAGATTTCTGCGTTGCTGCTCCTGCTGCTGCTGCTGTTGTTGGTGGTAATTGTCCACGTAGCTGCGGTACTGGTGTGCCGGTACGAGTACGCAGAGGGTGTACTGACGGTCCATGCCGGGTACACGGTGGACTGTGAGCACTCTCTGTGACTATGCGGCGCCTTTCTTTCTCTTCTTCGTCCTCTTCCTCCACCTCTTCCTTTGGTTTTTCCTCTTCTTCCTCTCTTCTTCCTATTTCTCTTTCGCCACCTTCTCTCTTTCTCTCTCTCTCTCTCTCTTTCTGCGTGCGTGTCTCTCTCTCTCTCTCTCTCTCTCTCTCTCTCTTCCTCTCTCCCTCGCTTTTTCTTTCCACCACCTCTCGTTTCGCCGCTTCTTCTCTTCCTCCTCTCGATCCCGTCTCGTGCCCTCCTGCGCTCTCGTGTACTCTCCTATCTCCTCTTCTCCTCACCTCATCTTCGCGAAGGCCTCCTCGAGACTGGCCGGTGTACGGGGCCCGAAATTCCGATCCCCACCTCCGTGGGTCTCAATTTTTAAGGGATCCCACCTTTTTTCCTCTTTTTGCGTTCTCTTCCTTCGCTTCTTGCATCGTCCGGCCAGTCCTGCCTGCCCCTCCCCTCCTTCTATAGTACCCCTCCTACCCTTCCTGCAGCATCCCCCTTTTATCCCCACCGTTCGCAATCTCGCGTACACAAACTCCTTCCTCTCTTCAACGGGATGGTGCGCGAACTGGCTCTGCGTACTCCTCCTTCTTCTCTTCTGCCTCTGCCGCTTCTTCGTCTTCTTCTTCTTCTTCATCCTTTCCTCTCTCATTCTGGGAGGCTCCTTCCACCATACTCCTCGTACCATCTCTCTCGCTTCTCAGCAGCCTCAAGCGCCTCTTTCTTACCCTGCGTAAAAAGGCGGGCCTCGGCAGCCTCGACAGGATCGTCGCAATCAAGCCTCGACGTGAAGCTCTCTCTCCGGCTAGAGAGTGTTGACTTATAATTTAAATTTAAATGCAGGATAACGCGAAATATTCGCCTTTGTGTTACAAGCGAGTCGTTTGAGTTGCGAGCTGCGATACGATCGGGATTTGAGACGTCGTTCAGTAATCTTTATCAGTTAATAATCAGTTATCAGCCGAAAGCTCGTTTCTCTGTGTTCAGAGAAAAAAGAAACGCAAGTCATATGACTCGTATTTTATACAAGCGTTTTAATTAATTCATGTAAAAAAACTCTTCTCGAAGAGTTGCAAAGAAGATTTCGTTGTTTATAAAACATAAAATGTATTACACTGATTTTGATCGAAGTTTGCGCGCAAAGCAAGTAAAGAAAGTGATCGCGCCGTCGATGAGACTACGAGACGTCCCGCGAAAGTTGTTTACTATCCTTTATCGGAGCGAATAATACGCGTGTAATAAAGTCCTTTATCATAGTATCGAACAACGTTTTCTCGTCATCATCATACATAATGCTCGTCGAGAGTCGCGTGTGTCATCGCCGTCCTGATCGCCGCGAGCGTGCTTATTTTTTATAGATCCGCGGAATGTCGTCGCGATCCGGGAGTGCTGGGTGCCTCAGGACGAGCGCACGATCCTGCGGTCCTGGTGGGGCGTAGCGTGCGCGAGGACGAGTGCGAAAGGGTAAAGGGGGACAAGCCAGGATTGCAGAGATCAGCGGAGGACGAGAACGAATGGAGAAGCAGGAGGACAGACCGAGGAGAGGCACGCAGGAAGGGACGCGGCGGAAGGGCCGGGGGACGAGGCGAGCGAAGGGAGGAGAGGATACGGCGAGGTCACGGTACGACCCTGCTGAACGTGGTCGCATCCGTCCGAAGCCCCGCGTCGGTAGTAGAACCGACCTTGAGTCGCGCATTATGCCCCGTCCTTGTTGGAATTTCTGGGGCCCCTACTGGCCCATCAGCCGTGTCTCCGATCATCTAAGAGCCGGGGCCCCGGGTAGAGCAGGGCGAGAGCGGAGGACCCCGGCTCGTTGCGCGTCGCCCCACCATTCCCCCGAACACGAAGAGAGACTCGCCCATGGAACCCCAGTATGTGCACCATGGGGAGAGCGCACGGGTTCCTTCTCCCCGTTTCCCTCCCCCACCCTCGTCCCCTTCCTCCTCCCGGATCCACTCCGGCGAAGCCTTCACGGTCTCTCTTTCTCCCCGCCTCACTACCTCTTTCTCTACGTCCTCGAAACGTCGGAGAGAACCCACGGCGCCTCGCACGCGCATATTTCTCGGTCCATACTATTATTGTCGAGGGAGCACGCAGATGGTATCGAGTACGGGCCGGTTCGTCCGCTCCGGGAAAGAGGCCTTATTCCCTTCCCTCCTTCCTCGCCCTGTCCTACCCGTCCTCCTCCTTCTCTCCATCTTCTTCTCCGTCGTCTCTTCCTACTCCTCCCTCGCCGTCACCGCGACGGCCCCGGCGACCTCCGACTAATGCATTCTTTTTTCATTTGATGGACTTTCTTCTTTCTTCCCCGGAACGACTTCGGTTTCCGACAGGAAACCTCGCGGGTCCCGCTCTTTCGTGGAGCCGGCCGCCTCTTCTCTTCCGTGTGTTTCGTCATTTTCGCGACGCAGCCTGCTGCGATATCTGCTCCATCCGTCTTTTCGGAAAGAGGAAGATGCGTGTTTTGCAAACTAGCCGAATCGCAAATTCTGTTCGATACGCGTAGATTTAATATTATGTTCGAGGCTTTAAATTCTGTGGATCAAATTCCTTCCTTACAAATTTATCTATCCGAATTGCATAAAAATGTAAGACGTATTTCCCAAAATAAACGCTCGAAGTAAACGCTAAAAGTGCTCGCATACGCTAAACGCTCGATGCTTTAGCGTATTTACGAGCTTTTCACGTCTCATTCGCCGCTCGGTTGAAACCGTTTTGCTTGCAACTCAGCGGTCGAGATCCTAGCGTATATTTTTCTGTCTTACGAAACCGACTAATGTCTAGGACACGTCTCCCGCCTCGAAAGATTTGAAAGGAAGGAAGGAATGAGAAAAGACACTCCGGCGACAGCCGCATTCCACGTCGGCTAATACCGTTCCTAGCGCGACAAAAAACAAAAGGTCATCTGGAAGGATACGAGGGGGAGGAAAGGTACGGTAGGATCATACGAGGAGGAAGAGAAACCGCGCGTCGTCAAGCCGGGGGGGACAGGACGAAGAGGAGGCGGAAGGCATCTCTCGGATATATTCCTGCGCGAACGGCCGCGATTTATACCGCCCGGAGCTCGCTATCCTAGAGCCGAATGCCTAACTGATTGCTGAATTCCATTCCATCGGCCTGCCTTCTCTCCTATCCGCTTTCTCTCTCTCTCTCTCTTTCTTGCTCTCTTCTTCTGCTCGTCGCTCTTGCGAGCGCACGTCCTCCGCCTCGGGAATGCTACGAGAAACCACGAACGTCGTCATTTGCTCTCGTTCAAAATTCCAGCTGCGCCGATCGAACTATCTTTCCGAGAGTTCATCTCAAATAATTCTATAAATATGTCAATTGCGAAATTAATTATGGAATATTTAAAACCGTGATCGTAACTCAGTAATCTTCTCCTTCCGAAAAAGAATTATATTCTATATAATAAATTTAATATAGAACAGAAACTTTTTTTATTATTTATAATAAGAAAATGGATATATCTTGATTGACGAATAATTAATTAATTAAGATTCCAACGAATCAATTGACGATGTGATAAAGTCGACATATCAATTTTATAACCGCATAGTTGACGCATCGCGCTCTCATGTGTCATTAGAAAATTTCTCGAAGCGATGCCTTTTTTCAATCGCGCATATCTACGCAGTGCCTGAATCTTTTCGGCTCTTGCGTATAAGTGAGGACATCGTTTCCCGTTTAATTTGCATATA